AAAAAAAAAAAAAAAAAAAAGCAGGGAAAAAAAAAGGAGGGCCGTTGCTGAAGACTATAGGAGCAAGTTATACAATTTTATAGATTATTATGTACATGGATTGTAAAATGTAATTTTTCGCTAACTTAAAAGCTTCCAGTATTTGGCTGTCCCAAGAAGTATAGTACACACGAGCTCCAGGCTCTTCTAGTTAAGCCAACCCTTAGGACCGCCCCATTTGCCCTTGACCATGGCTTGGTAGTATACCCAAGGGAAGAAATCTTTCTTCAGATGATAGAATGCACGGCGAGGAGTAGCTTGGTCGATACCGAGCAAGTTACCAAAAGTCTCCTTGGGCTGTCCGCCGTACTTGAATTCAGCCAAAAGAACCTTGCCGTATTCTGTCAGCAGAGGGCATGAGGTATAACCGTCATAGTTGCCTTCGGGCTCCTTGCCCTCCATTGTGGAAAGCAAACCACGGACAAGGATGGGCGATTGGGAAGTAATTGCCGCAGCTGTTTTGGCTGTAGGAAGACTGGAGCCATCGCCCGCAGACCAGACGTTAGAGAATTTCTTGTGACGCATGGTGCTGTCATCGACATCGACAAATCCAGCCTCATTCGCCAGAGCACTGTTCTTGACAAATGCATGGGGGCCCATCTTGGGCACAACGTGCAGCAGATCAAACTGCTTCTTAACCTTCTCCTGTCCATCGGGACGAGCAAAAGTGGCTGTGTTGCCTTCGATAGCGACGAGGTCATGCTGGAAGAGTCCCTCGACGCCTCTTTCCTTCCGCAGAGCTTCAAGTGTAGCACTGTACTTAGGCACACCAAACATGGCTGGGAGAGCAGTGGCAAAGCTGATATTGATAGCAGAATTGGAGGAGTTGCTCGGGTCGTAGAGGCCGGCTCTCTTCCAATGGTCCAATGCGAGCCACATGACCTTTTGCGGCGCGCCGGCGCATTTGACCACACCGGCAGGTTGTGTGAAAAGAGCAACACCTTTCTGGAGTTTTTGGACGGTGCGGAAGACTTTATCGCATGTGTCGTAACCATAGATAGTAGAGACAAGAGAGTCTGGAGACTCCAGAGCCTCCGGCAGACCCTCGATGCTGCCATAATTAATGTTAATGCCGGGCACCACAACTAGCTGTTCATAGTTGACCCTGTCGCCATTACCGAGAGTAACAAGATTCTCCTCGGGGGAAAACGTGGACACGCTGTCGTTGTAAAATTTGAGCTTAGGATCAATCAGACTGTTCATTGGCCGGCGCAGCTCCTCCTTGGTTTTAAGTCCACCCCCAACCAAAGTCCATCCGGGCTGATAATGGTGCCATGCTGCCGGGTCGACAACCGCAATATCATCTTGAGTAAATTTGCCAGAATTAAGAAGCTGATGGCTGATAGACAGACCAGCAGTACCACCACCAATTACCACGACCTTGTGGTTCCGAGAAGCAGAGCTCACTGGTGAAGCTGTTGCAAAACTTCGTGCAGCTGGAACTTTTTGGGCAGCAGCGCAGGCTGCTGACGTTACTCGAGTGCGGAACATATCTGAAAAATGGATTGTGCGCGACGGAAAGTAGAGATTATTGTAGAAGAAATAAAAAGGAATTACAAGAGAAATGGCCAGGTCACTTTAAAGGAATGGGGAGATGGCCGTTCGTGGTAAATTGGAGTAACACCGGAGAGCGATGGATAAGATTATCAACAAGGCGGAACAAGTTCGATCGCCGACTGCTCTTTATGTACCTGACAGCACGTGGACCGGTCGGCGAAGAATCGGACGGTTGCAGCGCTTGCCACTTTCCGGAATAAGTGGACCCCGGGAACCCTAACTTGGACAACCTTAAGTATCGTAAATCCCCTTCAGTGTGCATATCCCATGTATTCTAATGCTCCATCATAACATAACATCATCATGAGCTCTGTTAAAGCTTCTCAGGCTGCTTTGGGCTCACTTGGGCTAATGGCCAACTCGATTCGAGCCACAACTATTAGGAGGCCGCTCCGTTCTCTTTGCCAACATGCCGAGAAGAGGGCCGCATATACCACCAAAACCTACCATTCAGCCGTCAGTGCTGGTTTTCAAAAAGCTTCACGAAAAAGCAAGTTGGATGATAGACGTACCTTATCATCTAATAACTCACGGTCTATACGTTCAATTGCGACCAAACCCCCACAAGCTGTAGCCCAAGGCGGAGCTTCGTACAGCACGGGCGCCACTGCGACTGGGGAACCTACTATTCACGCCGTTTTTGAGACGAAGACAGGGACATGGCAATATGTGGTCTCTGACCCATCCACTTTGGCTGCTGTAATCATCGACCCAGTCTTGGATTATGACCCAGCTACTCAAGCCGTTACCACTTCCGCTGCCGATTCACTGCTCTCGCTGGTCAAGGAAAAGGGATACAAAGTCGACAGAATCTTGGAGACTCACGCCCATGCAGACCATCTCACCGCAGCATCTTATCTCCAAAATCGCCTTATGCAGGAATATGGTCACAAGCCATCGATCGGCATTGGCAAGCGCATCGGACAGGTGCAGAAATTATTCGGTCAGAGATACGCAGTTCCACCTGATGAATACAGTGTTGTTTTTGACACACTATTTGATGACGACGAGAAATTCCACATTGGAAATCTGGTAGCGACAGCCATGCACCTTCCCGGTCACACTCCAGACCATTTAGGCTATAAAATAGGAGGTAAGGTTCTCAATAGAATTCGTTTCGACATCCGAATTTGCTGACAACTTTCAGATAATGTATTCTGTGGGGATTCCTTATTCCACGCAGATATCGGTACTGCGCGCTGTGACTTCCCTGGTGGAAGTGCACAAAGCCTCTTCAACTCCGGACGTAAGCTTCTTAGTTTGCCAGACCACGTGAAGATCTGGACAGGTCATGATTATCCACCGGAGGATCGTGCAACCCCGATACCTTGGCTAAGCGTGCAGGACCACAAGAGTCAGAACAAACATTTGAGAGACGGAATCACTGAGGAGGAGTTTGTGTCTCTGCGGCAGGAACGAGATACGAAGTTGGCAGAGCCAAGATTGCTCCACCAGTCACTCCAGATAAATATCCGGGGAGGACAACTTCCGAAGCCAACTGAAGCCGGACATCGGATGCTTCACGTTCCGCTAAAGCTTAGAGATGTTAAATGGTAAAGATGGCTGGTATTTGCGAAAGATGGCTCAAAGCCGTGACAGGATGATATGAGCGCTCCAACGAGAACATGGTCGCTAAGACGTAATATTGGAAAAATATGTGCAAGGTATTCAGTTATGTGTGCTGTGTGTACATGCTAATGCAAGCTCTTCATTTTACACCCAATGGACCAGAGTCACTAGGCAACCCCGAGTAATCCGCCTTTTGTTTCTGCAGGTTCTAGTAGACAAGTCCCTGTTTGGGGATAGTGAAAGCCATTTTTCAGTTGGTTTCAATTAACACAAATCACCGAATAGCGAAGAGGTGGTGGAGGTTGATACAGCCGTCGAAATGTAAACATGGGGAAACCCTCATGTGTACGGTATGATTCAAGGAGTCCTAAATGATGGGTCACGAAAGTGGGAAAATATTTACCTTGACTATACGGTGCTAATTAATCAATCAATCAATCAATCAATCAGGATTCTATTAACCTGTTCGAGCTATACGGTGCTAATTTTCGTGTCCTTTGTCTAGGATCCCGGTCAATTTGATGATAGGTAGCCCACGATACACTGAAGAACAATAGTAATCTACCTGTGGTCTGGTGTAGCATGGTTGTGGGCATGGGTTGGATATGGTTAAGCGCGTTGCTAGATGTCCACAGTGATAGTGGTGGAGAATTGACTACAGTAGAACTTAGCTTTCTGGAGGGGCGAGTCTTTCATACTACCTTTCTTAGGATATATTGTAACTTCGGCTCATGGACGGCCAATATCAGCTGAGTCTCCACTTGAACTGATAACGGGCGGACCGACGGTACAGAATCGCCATCCAACATAGGCAACCGATTTGACAAAAGAGCTAGACTGTATAACACCCCACTGTAGATTGGAAAAACAAGAGGAATGCAGCAATGATCAGAAGTCCAGTACTCATATAATACATGCATTACGTTTACACAATCGGAGATAGGCCGTTATACGACATGAACTTTGGTAGTCCGGGCCGCTACAGCAAGTTTCCGGAGATCATTCACTATCTATGGCCGGGGTCTGGCCAAATCTTACCGTCGTCATTTGACTTTGGACCCTTCGACTGAAAGACTGATAAAGATAGAATCAGGGATGCTATTGCTCAACGCCCCATGGGGTTATACAGTCCATCGGCGCCTAAACCGAATCCGGACACACACAGGCGCCTTGGCCCAACGGGGTTAAACTCACATGATCGGCTCACTCCAAAAAGGGTAATCCTATCCAGAATCCGGAGAGTGACTAAGATTTCGCTAGACCAAAACGAGCAAAAAGGACCCCATGACCAAGACCGGTATACTCTCCCATCTAGTACTCCGTACCTCTACTTGATATCCGTCGGCATACGGCCCGGCGGCTTCACTTCGATAGTGATGGAGGCTATACCTTATCTCACACATACATTCGAAAGGGTGGCGGGGAAGCGGCATGATAGCCGTGTCCTCCGCCCTGAATCGATAGTTGTCGATGAATAAATAATGGCCTAGTCTCGATAGATTGGAATAGCCAACCAAGCGTTTTTCTCAACATGGCGCCTACACAAAGAGTTGTTATTATTGGGGCCGGTATCGTGGGCACCAACATCGCTGACGAGCTGGTCTCGCGCGGATGGAAAGACATCACCGTTGTCGAGCAAGGCCCGTTGCATATGCCTGGCGGCTCGACATCACACGCTCCAGGTCTTGTGTTCCAGACCACACCTTCGAAGACTATGACCAATTTGGCCCGCTACACCGTTGAAAAGCTGCTATCTATTGATTGCTTCAATCAAGTAGGTGGCCTGGAAGTGGCGACGACACCCGAGAGACTTCAAGACCTTAAGCGCAAGCACGGCTATGCCTCGTCGTGGGGGATCGAGGCACGCCTCATCGATGCCGAGGAATGCCTCAAAATGTATCCGCTCTTAAATAAGGAAAAAGTTCTAGGGGGTCTACACATTCCGAGTGACGGTCTAGCACTCGCTGCACGCGCAACACAATTGCTCATCGAAAGAACCCGCAATGCCGGTGTCCGCTATCTCGAGTCTACACCTGTCACTGGCATCGAACGAAGTGGTCGCCGGGTAACAGGAGTGAGGATACCCAACGGCGTCATTCCTGCCGATATTATAATTTCTTGTGCTGGGTTCTGGGGTGTTGAAGTTGGCGCCATGGTCGGTGTGCCGATTCCTTTGCTTCCGCTAGCGCATCAGTATGCGAAAACAACTGCCGTGCCGGCTCTCGCTGGCCGTCCCATCAATGATCTTCCGAATGGAAGAAATGCTGTACGACCTATCCTACGTCACCAAGACCATGATCTATATTTTCGCGAGCATGGTGGCCAATACGGCATCGGCTACTACGGTCATCGTCCCATGCCAGTCGTCGCCGCATCGTTGGGATTAACTTCCAAGCACGTCGATGAGAAAAACATGCCATCCCGCTTGGAGTTCACCAGCGAGGATTTCGACCCAGCCTGGAAGGAAACACAGGAGTTGTTGCCTGCTCTACGCGACACAGAAATTGCTGACGGCTTCAATGGCATTTTCTCTTTCACTCCGGATGGTGGCCCCCTTGTGGGACAGGCACCAAATGTCGAGGGCTTCTATGTAGCTGAGGCGGTCTGGGTAACGCATTCAGCTGGTGTTGCACGCGCTGTGGCAGAGGTGCTTACCACAGGCCGATCTCAGATCGACATTTCCGAATGCGAGCTCTCACGATTTGAGGAAATTCAACTCAGCCATGACTACGTTAGTGAGACCTCACAGCAGAATTTTGTCGAGATCTATGATATACTACATCCCATGCAACCGAAGGAGTCACCCCGGAATCTCCGCGTTAGTCCCTTCTATAACAGAGAGCGAGAGCTGGGTGCTTTCTTCCTCGAGCTTGGGGGGTGGGAGCGTCCATTCTGGTACGAATCAAACTCAGAGCTATTGAAGTATCTCCCGGCACAATGGCAGCCTGTCGGACGAGATGCCTGGTCAGCAAAGTTCTACTCGCCTATTGCCGCGGTGGAAGCCTGGAAGACACGTAATGCAGTAGCCATGTACGATATGACCTCGTTTCACCGATTTGAGGTGTCCGGCCCGGGATCTATCGATCTCCTCCAACGGTTAACTACAGGAGACATTACTGCCAAGCCGGGGACCATCACTTACACTCTTCTTCTAAACGATCACGGCGGAATTCGCAGTGACATTTTCGTGTCAAGGCTTAGTGAGGATGCCTTCCAAATCGGAGCAAACACGGCCATCGATCTGGAATATCTGATTAGAGAAGGCCGTCGTCAAGAACAGCACACCCCGAGCCGATGGGTCCAGGTCCGTGAAATTACTGGCAGCACTTGTTGTATCGGACTCTGGGGTCCTCGCGCCTGGGACGTAATCAGCACCATCACCACAGATGACTTTTCCAACACGGGGCTACCTTATCTCGGGGTTAAGAGCGCGAATATCGCCGGAATCCCAGTCACGGCTTTCCGGAAGTCCTATGTCGGGGAGCTGGGCTGGGAGATCCAGACCAGTTCCCAGTACGGCCAGCGGTTGTGGGATGCAATCTGGCAGGCAGGAAAGTGCCACGGGTTAATCGCGGCTGGCCGTGCTGCCTTTAACGCGTTGCGGTTGGAGAAGGGCTACCGAACCTGGGGCAGTGATATGACCACCGAACACAACCCGTATGAAGCAGGCGTTGCTTCCGCCATCAAGACGGACAAAAAGGAAGACTATGTGGGTAAAGCTGCCATCCAGCGTCTCTCCAAACAGGCACCCACAAGACGTCTGCGCTGCCTCACCGTCAATGATGGGCGTTCTATGGTGCTTGGTAAGGAGCCAGTTTTCCTGAATGGTAAAGCTGTTGGCTATGTCACTAGCGCTGCGTTTGGCTTCACGGTTCGAAAGCCCGTCGCGTACGCCTGGTTACCCGCGAGTGTAACAGAGGGCCATACAGTTGAGATCGAGTACTTTGGGCGGCGTATCCCAGCTATCGTCACAGCAGAGCCACTGTACGACCCGCAAATGAGCCGACTACATGCGGACGGCTCATCAGTGGTACCCGAGATCCAGAAGCCTCTGAAGAACCTTCTATAACGATACGGAATTTAACGAGCGATGCAATGAAATTAGCGCTGTTTTATCTATGTTTATTCAATACCGGACTGTACATGGGAATAAACCCGAAGGGCAACTGCCAGGCTATGTCGATAGACCCTGCGTATGTGTCCCCTGATTTATTTGTTTTGATGCTTACCCATTGCGATTAAGTATGTGGCGCAATGAATTCGTGTCATATTTAGAGATACAATATACACCTGCATAACATTGGAATCTTAAGCACCTGATAATCCATGTGAGCCTGAAAAGCATTCGCACTATTTACCAAGGCCTTGTCCTAAAGCTACGAGCGTACTGCCTCGCTGGGCACAGGAGGTGAAGTGCCACGCCGCCACAAGGTACAATAAAAGCAATCATGATATTTTTCGAGGACCGAGGTATGAGGAGTGTTCGCCATCGTTAGTATTCCCAGGTTGATTGCGCAAGGTAGATCTCCCGCATGGTTGGTCTATATTAAGAACGCAGAATCTCCGTACATCCGAATATACTTAGGGGGGTGGGGAGGTTCAACCCGTTTACCTTAATATGTTAGCTCTCCACACGGATGTCTTGGCATGCTTTATTTAGTTTTCGGCAGGGTGGATGCGGTGGATGGATCTCGATGAAGCGTCAACGATCCGCATCTCCACCCGAAAGTGGAATAGGCAGCAGTGGCTGAGCCCTCGTTATCTTCGTCCGTCCTATTTTAGGCACAGGGCCCATGCTTCCACCAAGAACACTGTCTATACTGGTCTACTAATTCTTCTATGTTGGCTTTATATAAATATGCTCAGTAAAGAAGAGTCCACAACGTGAGAACAAGCTTTTCCCACGATCAGGATCAACATGAGAAGATCCGGTGGTAACCAGATGGCTCAGAATAATCGAGCAAACAGGCGGTCTCGGGTAGCCTTGGCCTGTGATATCTGTCGTCTGCGAAAGTCGCGGGTAAATATATACCCACCCCTACCCTTAACACTGCACTGTAAACTGACACTTTCTTAGTGCGATGGCATTCGCCCCAGCTGCTCTGCGTGTAGTCGTTTGGGGTTTGAGTGTGTATATACCACCCCAAACCATACCCAGAATGTTATCATTCAGAAAGAGTTCGTACCACTAACATTAGCCCAACTGTGGAGGCGTTGTTTGTGGGGCTGATCATGTCATAGGTATTTCCAAGCGCTAGAAGATCGTGTTAAGAGCATAGAAGAAACTCTAGCCACTATGAAAGATGAACTGGGGGCGGCGTCGACCTCTTCTCAGACATCCGAAATTGAAGCTCAACGCGCTACGAATGACACAAGCAACCCAATCCGGGGTATAGGGTTAAACTCTCTTACCGATGAGAAAGAACCTGGATTTCTTGGTATAGCTGCTTCGTTCCCTGCAAGTGCTGGCCAATTAACAAGTGTGCAAAAGGCCCTTCATCGAACGACTACTTTCTGCGTTGTTTATGTCATGCCATTACACCGGGAAAGGAGGCACATATTCTACCTACCTCTAATATGGAGTCTCACGTGGACGTATTCCAATCACAATATCCGACGCCAGCCTCCGAGAGGACACAATCTTCGGAGACAAACATTTTTTCACTCCCACCGGCCAACGAAATGACAGAACTTGTACAGAAGTTTTTCTTCGAGATTGGGATCCTGTTTCCTTTCATATATCCAGTTACATTTCTGGAGACATATACTCGTTTGCTCACGAATGGTTGCTTAAGTGTGAGGCGAAAATGGCTGGCACTGCTGAACCTGATTTTCGCCATGGTCAAACTATCTATTATCCCGAACAAGCAGTACGTTGCAACTTATATCACTGAAGCTGATGCTTGTTACCAACGGGCAGTGGATCTATACGGCGAGGAAATATTTAACGGTGAGAATATCGAAGATGGTGAGTTGTCACCAGTGCCCCTAAATGGCACGATACAGACTCATAGTCCACTCCAGTGCAGTTCCTTCTCCTCCTAGGCCAGTACCTTCATGGGAGGCACAGGCCTGGACAGGCATGGACGGTGCATACTTTAACGGTTAAGGCAGCCTTTAAACTTGGTCTCCACTCGCAAAATGCCTTGAAAGATATGCCCACGCTGGCACAAGAGGCGCGCAAGCGCACCTGGTATGGGTGTGTTATGATAGACAGGTATATGTTTTCGAGTAACCCCAAATCCCATCATATCGGTATTGGTAGGCTAAAGAATCCCGGCGATTTTAGGTTTTTGAGTATGACACTTGGAAGGCCAGCCGCAATACCAGACTGCTACATAAAGCTTGAGCTGCCTGCGAACCATACCTGCATCGATACATCCACGATCATAGACAACACAACAGCCGATCTCAGTGTTTCCTGCCTCAATTCTACCATGTAAGTTTGCCGGTATAGCAGGTTGTACCCTTCATTAAAACCAATCATCTAGTGCTCTCTACAAACAACTTGCAAACATTATTGATAGACTTTTCGACCACAATCTGGACTCTGGCACGTCCTTAAATATAAACGAGATAATTTCACACATTTCGTCAATAGAGGATAACCTCTGTGCTTGGCAGATATCACTTCCCCACGGTCTAACCACTATCTCAGCAGCAGGATTACATGATGAACCGCAGGGGCCGCTAACAAACGCGGAATTCTTCTCAAGAAAATTCTCTGTTATGATATCTCTACGATACTACAATATCCGCACTCTTCTCCATCGTCCAACCCTGGCCAGTATGATTGAAATATGCCGCCACATAACTGATCAACAGGAATCCCAGACACTTCCGCTCGTCGGACTACACAGCTTGGAGATATGTACCGAGTCAGCAATTACCACCATCGATATGATATATGACTTAGTCCATGCCACCGATTGGCGAACTAATCTTCTCGAAGCCTGGTGGTTCTCGCTGCACTATGGTATGTGTACGCCCAGTAAGCCCGTTTTGGTTTCCCATTGTCCCTGAATCTAATGCAAATATAGTTTTCAACGCGGCCTTGGCTATCATAGGAGTGCTATGGCTCTGCAAATCGGACTATGTCTTGGGCCTTGCAATGGAACAGCTGGCAAGGAAGGCAAGGCTGTACCCTGACCGCGCCATTGCAGTATTGTCTCGCCTTGTGTCTGGTGACCCTGTTACAGATCGATGTCGAGACATTCTTCAACGGTTGACAGAGGTTCTCTATGACTATACTGGTGAGATATTGGTATCCATATAATTATTCAGAAAGCGCAAATAGCTGACGTGCATGAGGGAGAAGGACAAGGAAACGCGTTCCAGGACCAGTTGGCATCACTGCAGGGCCATGGTAGTATGTCGGAAATACTAAATCCTTTATCTCAGGACAGCGACCATTCGATAAATAACATATGTTTTGAAGCCTCTGGGACAATCGAGGATCTTCTGACCTTATCAAGTGGAACAGGGATGCTACATAATGATCAATGGCAGGGGCTTGCTTCTACGCAGGATTTCGACGTAGAAGGACAATGATCGATGTATAAAATATGGAATCTAGTAGATCTATATAAAATGATGAGAATATTCAATCTTCAAAAGAAAGGGATATTTCTACACCAAGATTTAGTTAACAAACACTGCTTATAGCTATTTCCCAGCGGCAAGGCATTACGCCCACTCCACCATTCATTCTCGCTCATTTCTTGACTTATATAGCGGACTATAGTTTCAACTTCTAGGTAGGCTCATTTTATCACGAATTTTCTTTCTTGGTATCATTGATAACCCCAATGACAACAATAAAGGTAACACAAAACACCGCTACTAATGCAATTTCCAAGCGCAATTAGTACTGAAGTCAGACGAGGGATTTATATGAATGCCAATGCACGACCATAGCACAAAGATTTATGGAATAGGTCATGCAGTCTAGCGAGTGGGGCCGTAGAATATCCATTAGCATTAACTGGCAAGTGATAGTAACCCTTGGAAGAATAAGCGCAGGCAGCTTTCTTGGTTCATAGCTTACCAACATTCCTTGAGCCTCCGTGTATCGTGTCGTGCCTTACTTTCTGGTAAACGTCAATAGTATGACTCGTTTTTGGGTGGATCTCCATTGAAACAACGTGGTTGTGCCAAGCATATGCCAGATAGCCTTCATTCCAAGGGTGCAGATCGTCAGCCAGGCGTCAAATAGGCTAATAAGTAGTGATGCAAGATTACCTCGGCATAATTCTTCCTCTGCAACTTAAACGATGTTGCTTTGGGTATGTATTAATATTGATTTATTTTGTCTTTACCAACAAACATTTATAAATGAGAAAGATAAGGAGAGAGAAAAGAACAGAGCCCTGATTTCCCGTACAAGTACAGTGATAGCCATGGAGTGTGAGGCAAATAGATGAGATTTGAATGAAGAATATGGCTAGAAAAATACAGAACCCCAGCCTCGTCTGCGGACACCAACACGTATATCCCGTAAATTGAAGCCAATCAATCAAAGCCACGCAAACTCATGTGGACAGTGTGGATACGAAACGTAACCTTCTTGTGCCCACTTTCTTCGTAGCTGTTAGCTCATCTGACTATCATCTACCTTTGTACTTATTCATATTTAATATGTTCTGTTGCTGTCACTTTTTTCTTTTTTCCTATTCTTCTCTTTCCCTGTCCAGGATCTTCATGAACCTCTGAGGAATAAAATGGAAACTCTCGTAAGCTATGGAGTCACTTACCTAATAACGAACAATTCAACTCTAGCAACCCTAGTTGCTGCAGTCTACGGACTCTACCTCAAATCATCCACGAAGCGTCTCTCTGTCCGCGCGATTCTACTATGTCAATTACCGGATTATTCCTTGACCAAATCAGATATCGACGCATTCTTATCTAGATCTTATGGGGGCGATAGTTGCGAGTGGTCATGTACATGCACTAGCATTGACGAAAACTACGAAGGACCAGCACTGAAAGCTGTTCATGTACGCCTATACTCCTCTCTCTCATTTGACTCATTTTTCCTATGGAAAGAATGGGGAAAGATTTGTAATATTCCTAGAGAAAAGTGACTCATGATAGAATACCAGATTAGCCTCGAGCACGAAAGCATGCTATATGATGATTCGCTTCGTGAGCTTCCAATTCGTCAACTATGCAGTAAGCTGGTTGGCCTGCATACGTTCAAAGATCATCGCTTCCGGATTGTACCTGAACGGGCGGGCGAGGATCTAGATGATATCGGTCGGGCTTTTGGTAGCTGTCTTGTATTGATGCATTTGAAGGACATCTATGAAAGATGCTCTGGCCAAGATGCGAATGACGATGAACGCTACTCGGAGTAAGTGAAGTACGGTAAACGATCTCCGCGAGGCCTAACTGACCCTAATAGTGAAAGGATTCTTTCTTTTCTGCAGAAGTTCACAGACGAGTATGGAGCATATATTGAGTCTCTATCAGATGAAAAGGTCTTTGAGATTCTTGGGATTATCGAAGATCCAAAGTTCGGATGGATGCTCAGTGAGCTGAAGAAAAGGCGTACGAGAAGCACTTTGAGGGAACGGCGGATGTAGGATTCAGTCTCAAACAAACCTAGTCCAATGGTGACTTTTGGTATGCGATTAAGCTCTACCTTTCTTCTTATCCACAGCACTATGTACACTGCTGTCAGCGATGTTGATTTACACTTTCAGATTAACCGCGACCTCTATGTAATCGCAGACGATGTTTAGTATACCCAGACTTACGGCGCCGAAGCGACAAAATCAAACCCTTCAGTATTAATGAACTACAAATAATCAGAATATAGAAAGAGAAAGAGGCTATATATGCTACAAGGGCTGCTCACAGCCTTTCCCATCATGGGCAGTTTTGAAAGGAATTATTTCTCATAAAGTTATACATAAGTGGGGATATTCTACTATCTTTTCGATGTCCATCGGAAGCTTAACAATCGTTATAACGCTTGATTGACGATTGCTTGGCCCATCGCAATAGTTAATCTTCGGTCTCTTGATAGGGCCAGAGCTTGGAAAATAGCTCTCTCTCAGTTTCGTCTGGAGCCAACCCAAGGAAAATCACTTTTACCTTCCGACTAATATTCACCGCAGCTTCATAGTCATTAGATCTAATCATGCCATCATGAGGAAGCAATGCCTGATCATGGAGTATTGTGAGCAGCTGCCCAACACCATCGATGGTCTTTTCTTCCTCTGAGTAAAGCTCGAGGTCGGTTTTCGTGAATTGAAGTGGACAGGGCAGCCCGCTGTCTGAGGAGATCTCTTCCCAATAAGCAGCAAGTGTAATAAGTGACTGTCGAAGGAAGAAAAGGTTTCGCCGTTCCCATACACCAGTAACAAGCCAAACAGGCTTTCGCATGATAGGAATCATCTTCTGTTGAAGGACAGCCCAGTGGCGCGGCGCTCGTTTGTATACTTGAGTTTCGTAGTATTTATGCATTGTCTCGCTCTCCAAATCCTCCTGGATCTTATTCTGCTCTTCGTCACTGAGACTGTCAAAGTTTTCGGGTTTTCCAGGAACGACCCAGCCCTCCCGGACAGGCCCGGGGTGTCGAAACATCTTCGGAACGCCAGACTGGTAGAACAAAGGGGCAACGCACGCGGATTGCCAATCTATTATGCTTGTGATATCATGGGTGTTAGGGTCCACGTATACATTGTCCAGATGAAGATCTGGGTGCCACAGGATATTTGAACTTGCTGCTTTGTCGTCCGATGAGGGAACCAAGGAAGAGGCCGCGTCCATGTATTGAGTGAGAAGGGAAAGGCCGTCTTCGGGACGTTCTTGATCTTCCATTGACCTATAGTAGTTCATTCTGGATTTTGCATATGATTTAATCCATGCAATCTCATTGCTCCCCAATGCCTGGGCGTACTGAATTGGGTTGAGCCCTGCGTATATACCATCAGCCTCTCTATGTGGGGGATACGTGTCTGAATTACCCACAGGGGCCACGGTCCAACTTCATTTCATTCCTAGTCTCAGTCCATAGTTCAGCTGAGGTGAGCGGGCCTATAGCAAAACGTTCAAGAGCTTCCGGCGCGACGGAGTCTACGGTGAGCGCTTTCGCATCCCCAGTCAGCGAAAGAATGTCATCTTTATAGTAAATGCAACCATGCCAAGGGAAGGCGATGGTAGTCAGCTTATTCTCCATGTCAACAACTTGCTTAATTAGCCTAACCCTCGCTTCTCGCGGCCATTGATTCCAAACAGAACCAAGCCGTACACCCTGTACCTTCTCTTGAATGACATACTCCGCACCCACAGAGTTGTTTGTCGCATCTGCTGACCACGCGAGAATCCGAGGTACGGGAAGTTTGAACACCTCACGGAGCTACGATGTTTAGTGCGACAGTGACGGAATATAGATACAGATATCCATCATACCATATCACATGTGGCAACCTCCGAGGCTGTCGTGTATCGCGCCGGTCCTGCACTCGGATTTGGGAGCTTCGCAAAGACCTCGACGCCATTATCCATCGTCAATATGAATGCTTTATTGTGTAAGCCCTCCAAGCACTTTAGGACCCGGGTACCTGTTAAACAATTAGTAGCTATATGTGTAAACTGTATTAATATGACGCTTACAATATCTCGAACCCTTGTGAACATCGAGGGCGGCTCGAATGAGCTCTTGGAGGTCGAATTTCACATAGCGTTTGCTGAGCTCCCTTTCTTCGTTGTATCTAGGAGTTTCATTCATGAGCAAGTTCGTATAGCCCAAATAAATGCTGCTGCACTCTTACAGCCATCGATGCCTTGTGTAACGATATAGGTCATCCTCAGTGATAGGTTCATCTAGCACTATTAGTTATTCGGATTTTGGAACGAGAAGTGATGAATGGCTGCACACATGATCCACTTTCCGTTTCAATGTATAAATCTGGGGGTTGGGGCGACTGCCTCCCACCCAAAGAAAACAACGAAAAAGGGCGTGTGTTATGACATTGACTGTATCTGTTCCAATGCTTTCGTAGGACTAAGTTTCTCCAGTTTAGTGAGACAACCCTAATCATGCTGAAGGTTGGAATTAAGCTAACATCATTGCTGTTATTACCAGAGATCCCGCAGGCCTGATGTCCGCATGCGGATTCGGATTTACTAACATTCCGTCTGGTATGTGTTCGTATGCATGATGGGACAAATAAGAGACACCAAATGTATCAAATAAAGATAGATTTTGAAACGATTCTACTTAAATTACATCTACAATGAAGGTGAGTCTACCTGTCACATGGGGTGTCAATTCAATTGTCCATCTATGCAAATATATATTGATATATACTTCCAGACCTGTGACCAAACTATGTCTACTTCAGAAACCATGGCTAGTGTCTGACTTACCCAAGTATTTTGGTACTTTTGTCAGTTTTTCAGACAATACCCATAGACCATTGAATGGCACAGGCTATGGAATATGTGCAAATGCTAGTTTTTTGGATTGTGTGACGCGTCTGACGAAATCTATTGCAGGAAGTTGTAAACGTGTGGACTAGAGTATTGTCTTACAAGGACGATGGTGACGTGAACAGCAGCTGCTCTATGCTGTGAGTTGAAGCCCAGGGTGAAGCTTGACGAACGCGTTCGGATTCACTCATGAAACCATACTGAGTATATCGGATCTTATATACGTCAATGGTTTGTCGCTCAGCCCTAATCTGTATGTATTGCAAAAGTTATTTTGATCATGTGGTTTGTCATCGACGTCGGGGTTACATTTCCACTGATCGATGATCCTTACTCTGCTCGGTGGGGCCGAAGTCCCATCCCTCATTGGGGCATAGTGTATATCTACTGTCAACATGCGTCTGTCAACAGCGGAACTCGATGGACAAATCCTCGGAACTCACTATTTAACCTTGAATTAAGTTTGGTAGTGACTCATATAATACCTTTTGTGGTAAGATAGAAGGCGGCTATTACTACCGATAAGCATGGATAAAGAATGGCCCTATAAGGCGAAGTATAAATCTCCTAGCAGCGCATTCCCCAGACGTAACGAGCTATAAACAGGGCAGATCATCGTAACTGTAGATTTGCGAATCAATATCACTATTCTATGCTCACAAAATTCCATCCTTTGTACCTTTGCACCTTTGTACCGACCGATTTTCACCATGCCCGGTGCCCGTTTTGTTGCAAACCCTATAATTATACTCGGAGATGAGAGAGCCAGAATTGGCAGGCATGAGATCCCTTGTCGAATGGCCATCCATGAGGTCGTTGAAGCCATTACCATTATTCGTCCGGACGGCCCAACTGAGTACAAGTTCGACAGAAATATACTGTTTAATCCAGGAGAATCTGTAGAATTGGACCCTTCAGGTGAGTACGTCACGGATGGAAAAGAAGAAGTGAACGTGACTAACAATTGTAACCATACAGATAAGGATTGTTGTATACTCTCCACTCGACGAGGTGACCAATTTGTTGAGGTGCCGAAGGCATAGGTGCTTGGCTGTTGGAAACTACCAATGGTGGAGCATATACGACATCTTGTATTGAAACAATTTCCCAACATGAGTGACAAAACTTTATATTGAGTCTTTAACTCTTCTTACAATTGCAGTTCTACGAAAATGAAAAGCCCCTTAGATGTAGTTAAGGTAGGGCTGTTACAGTCGCCGGGCCGCCGAGAAACAAACAGTGCGGAGACTTTTACTAATCACACCGACATGGCGCAATCGCCGTCGGCCTCCATTGGTTGTATGACGTCGGATAGGCTTGTGGACTTAGTAATGCCATCACAGTCCTTCTAGAACAAGCACCAATTCCTAGTATTTATAGTGACATCAAACGTCCGAAGTTTAGTTGATTCAGTCATATCGTTAGACGGACCATCTACTCTTCATACTTTACTTCATATCAGTGGCATAGCAAAACAGTCGCAACATGTCTGCACAAGCAAACAACCCACGAGTACCACGCGGGCCAGTCGAGGCTGAGATAGTCTTTTATAAAGACCCCGTGGATGGCTCTGCACCTTTCAATTACGTGGAGGAGCCACCGGAGGGTCAGCCGCAGCGCAACTACAGCGAAGCCTTACATAAAGTTCACATTACCGACATCCGAGGTCAAGAAGATCAGTTCACTTTGGACCGCGATGCATTTCAAGTTTTACAAGACATCCCTTCGCAAACCACATACGAGACGTTTAATTCCGAGGATGCCATCAAACAGTTATATTACCCCGAGGTAGAAAAGCTACTCCTCGACAAGGTTCCCGGAGCACATAAAATCATCATCTTTGATCACACCATCCGACGAGCGGATCCGAAGGCGTCACGCCAACCGGTGCGGCAGGCCCATGGGGACCAAACCAGATGGTCCGCGGCGCAGCGAGTCCGTCGACATGTTACTGATCCTGAAGAAGCCGAAACGCTGCTCCGCGGACGGTATCGTATTATCAACGTCTGGAGGCCGATAAATGGCGCGGTTGAATCATTTCCCCTCGCTTTTGCCAGCGCTGCGACTTTGGGCGACACGGACTTCGCCAAGATTGAACATCGCTATCCTCACTTTAGTGGCGAGATCATGGGCGTGAGACACAATCCAAATGCAGAGTGGAAGTATCTTTCCGGAGTGGATGATGATGAGAGACTGCTTCTGAAATGTTCGGACACGGAGGAGGGCATGGCGGAACGTGTGCCTCACACTGCCTTTGTCGACCCTCGCACGGTCCCTGATGCCAAGGGACGGGAAAGCATTGAAGTGAGAACCATCGTCTTTGGATAGAGTGAGGAAGGAAACATAAACTAGTATTGGCGATTCTTTTCAGTTACGTTGCATAACCTTGTTTTTTCATGACAGATACAACTATATACAACCCTCTCTTAATTTGGCTAGCTGGAATATACCCCATGTCAACCACCTACTATACCGTGTTATCATTGTAGCTCCCAATGTAGCATAATTATGCTTCCTGTCTGATACTAACAAAGAGATGACCTCCCTTTCTGTTCTAGCGCCTACCCTGCGTGCCCTTTGTCCAGATCAAAGTCACAGACGGACTCTCCCACGCTACCATCTCCAACTTCACCGTGGCATATGAGCTCGCGAATCACAGGTGGGGGTATTCACTCTATAATAGATTCTGTCAGAGTATCCTCTTTATCAAATGAGTGTTCAGAAGGCAAAGTAGATTCTTAGCGACCAATAACCTGTAAACCTAATGTTATGGATATATTAATCTCTTCGGAATTTCATCTGTTATCCGGTGCCTATTCCTAACTAATGTAGTCCGAGCGATGCCTCACCCACCTTCATGCAAAGAGTTCCATAGCATAGCTACTTGTACTTTGAGTACACTCCTATTGGGACTAAGTTGAGCAACTTACACCTCACTTCTACTTCTCGTCGTCTTCTCAAGCTTGGCCGTTGCCTCCTTCAATTCTGCGGATTAAGTGGTATAGATAAAGTAGCCTTGACAATATTTGAACCGTGGGCTATACAATTTATAATTCGAGAAGCTGCGATATATCTCTCAGTCTCGCAGTGTGAGATGGCTAGAAGCGCCGAAGACTACCCTGCTCAGAGTTCTGTTACCAATTGTACCCACTCTAAGCAATATCAAAATGAACCTCTTTATGTTCAAAGTGGTATATTGTGTGCAAATATAAGTCAGAAAATGATATATGACTCCGGTCCGGATTCCCTGGATCAAGTATACTCTTTACAAACCAGTCTGGTTCTTGATCGACTCCTCAATCGCCCGATCCTGATCCGCAAAAACCTTCTTAACAGAAGGCCTCTCACTCAACTTTTTAAACCACGCCGCAGCATGAGGGAAATCCCTATCCAAGTTCTCCGCATCTGTCGCATACTTCGGTGCCCAACGTTGCCAGGGCATGAAGCATAGATCGACGTAGCTGCACTTATCCCCAACCAACCACTCCCGATTCTTCAAAACCGAGTCCAACACACCAGTCACACGACGCATCTCATTTTCATACCGCTCAATTACACTAGGAAGACGTTCCGGATGAGCGCGGTTGAACCACCCAGCCTGTCCGTAGTACGGGCCTTGACCGGAAACTTGGAAATGCAGCCATGCCTTGGTTTCATATTTGGCAGCGAAGTCGGTGTAGCTCAGCTTCTGCTCGGCATCGTAGTTATCGATGAGGTATTCCACGATCGCGCCGGATTCCCAGAGGGTTATGTTTTTGTTTGGGTCTTCGATGGCGGGAAGACGTCCGTTGGGGTTCAGTTTGATGAAGGGTTCTTTTTTGACATCTTGGAAGCTGACGAATCGGGTTTCGTATGGGAGGTTGAGCTCTTCGAGGATGATGGCTACTTTCCAGGGGTTTGGGCCGTAGGGGTGGGAGTAGAGGGTGATGGGCTGCATTTTGATGATGGTTTTTTCCACAGGTATTATGCTTGCGTAGAAGGTTGGTGATGGTTGTTGTTGTTGTTGATATTTAATTTAGTATACTCTTCTGGCTGAATCTACTATTTATTCCTTCAAGTCTGTCATTAATCTGTTCCCGGTGCAGTGCTACAATTCATTCTGTTAGGGCTATCCAGATTCCGGACCGGACGTCGGTATTGCCTCAATTGGTAGGTGTTTATGAGACATCGCCGAGCTCTACGAATGCCTTATCAGCGTGATATGTCAGCAACATGATATCCATATGGTCCGTGAGCAAAACGTGGGCGAAAATTGTGTAGATCTCTATCGCTAGCTCCGGTGTGGTAATGCTTGGAAATGACACTATAGGTCGTTTGCCATATGAGGGTCGGCGTCTGGTGGGACCAGTTCGGCGTTTGTGCATATGCCGAGAAGACACCGATTGATTAGATCCACTTGGTACGCAGTTCGGCGTGTCTACAATTTCATACCTATCAACCCCTACCTACAGTCTGAGTTAATATCAAAGCACAGTTGTATACAAAGTAGCTTTAGAGTGGTGTGAGCTTTGTCCTAGAGACCACTTGGTAACGCTATGCGCTCGAGTAGGCTCGAGTAGTTTTCAAATTCGTTTACTAATATCGACGCCCGTTTCAATAATATTTTAACTTTTTCTTTACCATATAACTGACTCATAAACATATCTATGATCATCTTTATCTTTGTCACCGACGATAGCCGAGTCAGTCCACGCAAGATATACAGTTCCAAAACCATCATTTATACCCGGACAGCCTCACTGCGGTATACCGCATCAGAGTTTTAACTTCTAAGCTAACACCGTCCTAACAATGTCCGACGATAGTCTCGCCACCCAGGTACTACATGCCGACAATGATTTAGACGGAGAATCAGATATCGCCCCACCAATCCATCTCAGCACAACCTTCCGGTATCTGTACAACGCGGACCAAGATGAATCTCTGCCCGGACCAGCAGTATGCCACTTAACATCATATCTGCATCAATCATGCATAAACACAATAGCATAGTATTAACAAGCTTATAGCTTGGAAACTTCTGCTACTCCCGAGACCACGCCCCAACGCGCACCCGACTGGAAACAGTGCTATCAGCACTCATCCGCGGCCCAACACTAACCTACGCCTCTGGTCTAGCCGCTGTACATGCATATCTCGTATTCCTTAAACCGAAACGCATAGCCATCGGCGAGGGATACTACGGTAGTCGCCAGGTAGCCAATTTACATCAACAGCTGACAGGCTGTGAAATTCTGAGCTTTGACCAACTGGACGCTCTCCAAGAAGGCGACGTAATTCACCTTGAAACACCGATCAACCCAACAGGAGAAGCACTCAGTATCAAACGATTTGCAGATGAGGCACACAAACGCGGAGCATACCTGGTAATCGACTCCACGTTCGGACCACCAGGCCTCCAGGATCCGTTTGCGCTGGGCGCAGACATTATCATGCACAGTGGGACGAAGTATTTCGGTGGTCATCATGACCTTCTCTGTGGGACGTTGTCGATCCCGCCATCGAGAGAAGGGGCTTGGTTTAAGTCTCTACATGAGCAGCGGACTATTCTTGGTAGTGTGCTCGGAAGTATGGAGGTGTGGCTTGGATTGCGGAGTCTTCGGACGTTGGAATTGAGAGTCCAGCGACAGAGTGCGAATGCGACTGGTTTAGTTCGCTGGCTTGATGAGTGTTTAAAGGGCGAGTCTGAAAATGTTGTTAGGAGCACTGTCGCGGTTGTGAGACATGCGAGTCTTCAGGTGGGAGATATGGATTGGTTGCGGGAACAGATGCCGCATGGGTTCGGGCCGGTGTTTGCTATTGAGATGAAGACAGAGGAGATGAGTCGTAAACTGACCGGCTTGTTGCGCTTGTTTCAACATGCGACTAGTCTTGGTGGTGTGGAGAGTCAGATTGAATGGAGGAGGCTGGTGGATGCGTCTGCGACGCCGACCCTTCTTCGGGTTAGCATTGGGGTGGAATATTTGGAGGATCTGAAAAGGGACTTGCTTCAGGGATTTGAGGCGTTGATGAGGACATGAAATTGGGTAGACACAAAGGAAAGGACGAATATCTTGCGTTGCGACTTGTAAGATCTATAGATCTATGACAAACTCTTGTCACAAGAGATTTTGGTCTTGCCCTATCATTCTATCAATTTAATCTTGTGATGATAAGTATCAACAAGTACTACAGTGTTTGTATGTTCAATATGAGGGCTGGTAAGTCTAAGGACGATGTTTAGGGTATATACGGCCTCTGAGTTACAATCGGAGCAAGGATATATCCCCCTGACTATAGCACCCTCAACCCAACAAAATCAGGTCCATACGACGTGAACCCAGTTTCACCACCCTCATTTCCAATGACAACGTCATTGTCTCCATCTTTCCACCCTTCAGTCAATACCCCTAGGGTCGCCGCATCCCACCACCCTTTTCCAGGCCCAAACAACTCACTGTGCTGGCCACTCAAAGGAACATCGAGTCTGACTGGCTTATTGCCATTAACGCTCACAGTTAGATTCCTAGAGTTGGAGCCCCAATCCCAAGCCGAATCGAATGCAACCTCATTATTGATGTAGTCGATCGCCAGATACTTCGTTCCGGCCGTAGCGGGGATCACGGCCCGAGCTGTGCTGTTCGCACTGATGTTCCCTATCTTAGAGCCAGCTGGCTGGCAATATCCTGCACCGCAGGAGACAGCTTCCGCATTTCCGGTTGTGGTGAAGGCTGTATTCGGGTAGTATGTGCCGTTTGGAGGGGTCACTATGATTGAGTCGACGGACTGTGAGGACGTAATTGTAATGGAGTTCGATGATCCGACAACTAGGGGTATTTGTGCCGATGCTTCTGTGCCTGATGCTAAGACTTGTGCTGTAATGGTCTTATTACTTGCCGTCGATTGTATTTTTACATCTCCGGAGGAAGCCCCTTCGGACAGTTTCACTGTGATGTTATACCTGGTACTTGTAGTTACACCGTAGATCTGTTCAAACGTGGTTGAAGAACTGATAACGGCGTTAGATTAGCAGTGGAGGCAAGACACTTGAGCCATCACTCACCCAATTGATGTCGCAAACGTGCCACTCGAATAGTCTCCAGAAGCTATAGTATCCTGAAGCTCAAGGAGAATCGTCCCATGTCCCTGGACGTTTGCGGTGTAGGATGTCTTTACATTTTGAGCGGTAGATCCATCCCAAATATTCTTCACAGCGCCAGCGTACTGCAAGCCGATATCAGGGAGGTCCAGAGTAAGATCCCTGGATTCGTCCTTCCAATTGATCAAAGCCGCTACAGTACGGCCACCAGACAAGGGTCCACTCCAGACTTCGTAGCCTTCTTCTGTCCAGCGTCTCCGGAGACTAGCACTCACACCCAGTGAATCTTGATTGTAACCAATAACATCTTCCTGTTTCAATATCTGCAAGGACTTATCATTTATAGAAGTCTCGTCATCCTTTAACACGGCCCCGATGGTCAAGGGACTCTTGAGAATGGCCCAGAGAGAGAAATGAGTTTGTTCTTCTGGAATAGACAGTATATCATTGCCCACATAGAGCATGTCCAAATCCGGCCATTGTCCAGGTCCTGCAAAGCTGGTTTGAGGAACAGCTTGGTTTAACGTTCGGTAGATCGCCCTCCAGTGGGGGATGATATCATTGCCAATTCGCCACGAGTGACCTAGCGCCGGTGCCCAGCGTGCTGGGAAATCAATCCCCCATTCGCAAATTTGGAAAACCATGGACCGATTTTGTGCTGCGAGGGCGCGCGACATGTTTGCGAATCTGGGCTGCGGTGATGTGCTTGGTTCGTAGTTGACGTTTGGATAGCCCGTTGCAGCGTCGGAATAACAGTTATCATCTATAACCATGATACATTAGTAGTGTAAGGACTGGAGGTGGAAATAACAGCGTACATTTTAGAGAGTCAACTTCCCAAGATGCAAAGGTCTTGGCGTCTTGCTCTTCGTGGTCTATCAAAAAACTATCAGTACTTGATGCTTCAGCTTCTTGGGAACCACATACATAGACTGCCGACATTATCGGGAGGACTGCCGCACAGCTTGATCCCTGAGTCCTGATAAACACCGAAAAGAAGGTCGAGGTCATGAAGGTACTTCCCAAGCGCGGGGAAGCCTTCCGGGAACAAGGTCTCGTTCCATGTCAAGGATCCATCCGGCAGTCGATCCGCAATGGTCCAGCCACAGTCGGTGGTGACATACCGATACCCTAGCGAGGCCAATCCTAAATCCACCAAGGCTTGGGCGTTGGAGCGTACAATAGTCTCATTTGGGGAACACGAGTAGTGATTGTAGGTGTTCCATCTGCATTGTCAGCTTGACTCTGGTCATAGAGTTTACCAATTCTTACCCCATCTGAGGCGTCCGGGCGACTCCATTGTCCAACCGCGGCTGGAGGTGCGGATACCCCAGTGCAACTGGTAGCAAAGCCAGAGAAAAGGCCATGAGGACCATTTTGGTATGGCGTTGTGCGGAACCCTGGCTTGGAAATACGCTGGGGAAACATGTTACGGTGGTTTGACTTATAGCAACTCAAAATTCCCCACCCCCACATCGAGAGGTGCGGAGACATTATGGATTATGAACATGAACTCATGTCGTGCAGGATGTTTCTAGTCTGGGGTCTGCCGATTGGAGGGAAAACCGATCCGCGCATCGGGAATTTGCCTTTTCGGGATTGTAGATCAAGATGCACGCTCTCCTTCATATTCTACCACCATGGATGGCCCCAGTTGGCATCCCCACTAGATAAAAAGCTCAAAGAGACGGCGCCCATAAAACATGGCTGTAAGCTTCATATGGTGAATGGTGCTAAGTCAATGGACGTCCGCGCCCGATATTTCTTCATGCGAGCGCTCGCTATAATCTGTCGCTAGTTTAACGGCGCAGAAGTTCTACGAAAGCTCATAGTACGATTAATAGCTCAGGAAGGTAGAGAGGTACTTAGTAGCATGAGGGGCGTCCCGAAGGACTGGTAGTACTCGGTTTATACTATCACATATCAGAGCAAAAACTTTTATCAAGATATAAAGAGTCCCAGGATCAGTTCAAGTACCCGAGCTGTGTAGGCTCCTGGGCGCTAACTAAAATATATAATTCTAACATGGCCTGAGTACTCCCTTCCCCTTTTGAGCCAGTGCTAAGGGAAGAGATCAAGACCCACTGTAGTCATTTGTATTCCTGCCCATGATGTTAGCTCAGATGAGGGTCACGCTTAGTAGTGCTTCGGCAGAAGCCTACACCTACATCGAACTCCATCCTCGTAGCAAATACATACGACCTCACGCTCATTTTGGACACCATACAAGCCATTATGACTCGTCCTATCCATGAAGAGTCTGTTGCGCCGGTTTGGAATAGAATAGCGTGAACACCATTCCTTGACCACGCTGCCATCGTAAGCCCTTCGAAAAGTCGGATATCACGTATTGTACAATGCTGTGAATTAATATGCCCTATTTTCACCGTTTGGTTTTCCCAGTAGATTCCATGCCAGTGATATAAGCTTAATCCATACCCTCTAGAACGGACACTGCGATTTGTCTCAATGGACATGGAAGTGAAAAGCAGCCGCTATAGACTAACCTGGTCCCGGGAATATGTAGAACAGGCAAAGGCTGAGGAGTGGATAATTGCCGGCTCATATACCGCTGATACAAGGTCTCTGTAGTGATGAAGCGTGCTGGGCGGGGACAAGGAGGCGTGGCATCCGTGACACCACTAATCAAACGGCAACGCCACTAGATATCTCGTCTCCCCCATACTCTCCGTGTTAGAGACTTCTCATTTGTGCGGTAGTCCAAGAGTTGCCAGCTTCCTCTTCGCGGTCTCTTTGGCTGACCTCCGCCAGGGGAACCGAGAAAACAGCGATCGCCATGACATTCGAATCGAGTTTTCCAAAACGATTGGCTAGAGAAAAGCTCGCCCATAGATCGAAATACAAGACGAAGATGATAGAAATCGGACGTAGTTGGGTATGAAGCGATCTCATGACGGAGCTCTAAAGGCAGGGTGTGGAAGCCAACCGCATTTGTTTCAATCCGTGCTGTTAGCAGCCGGTGAACTCTAGTACTTCGCTCCGGGAGAGGTCTAGGAGCGCGTAAAAGCCTACGGAACTCGATCGCTTCTGTTGGTTAGTGGTGCTCCGACAGGATATGCCCTAATGTATTGTTTCGTCTCTCAAAAATGAGTAGAGCCTCGTACAACAGTTTTAGGGATATTGGCCTTCGGAGGTGCACCTCCAAAATCTTCCAGCATCATGCATCACCCACACCTGTGAAGCAGCGATATTGAGTGTGATTACCACGTCATATACGGGTTCCTTCGGGGGCTCTCGGGGCTCAACTCTCAGATCAATAAAGTCGGTTGGCGACTGAGTAACTTTGATATTTCTCCCATGTTCGGACAGGCAGACGGTTTCCTTATACTTATACACTGGGCAGCCATCAGTTGCGTTTTCAAGTATACAATCTAAGGAAACAATGTAGATCTTCCCAGCGCATCAAACCTTGGTAACTGGAAGTCATACCAGCTCGAAACGTGCCTTGCCAGGTTCCCCTTTTGATCAGATCAATGGATTAACTGCATATAGTACAGTACAAAAACATTTTGATTAGAGGCAGGTATGTTGGATGCAATGAGGGAGCAGGGTGGTTCAAAACATATAGGTGAGACAGATATTGTGAGAAGAAATGAAGGGAGCCAGAAGAAGAACAGGCGAGAGTCTGCCGTCCACTTGTCCGTAGAATTAAGCCCTACGATGCGAACTGACTATGCAATTCAATTTCTTCACTTTCAAGCTCCTCTTTTGGGGGGGGGGGGGGGGATCGTATATGGTACTGTCTACTAGTAGCTATCAAAATGATGAAGCAAGCTTTCATTCACTGTCCACTTGCTAGTCGCCGCTGAAAGCTGCAAGGAGATCATCATCCAATCAAAACTACTTTCCACATTCCCGCTCCTTAATTTTTCAAATCCTAGCTGGAATGGAATCGCTGCTGTCGTGACACTACTTTCTGGAAGACATCAAGCAGACGCTCGTGTTTGTGAATTTCACCGCTCTCTTCCCTTTCCTCGGTATCTCTTATTAAACTGCGGAGCTCCGTATCCCTATCCTCGAAATCGAACAGGTCTATAAAAAGCTGTGACGTCTGCACCCTTCGCCTTGTCCGGGATAATCAGGGCATTGAGTGTGGTTCTGGATGCCGGAAATATAGAATATGTCACATCTGCCGCCAGTCCGGGGCTAACTGTGAGGACTTTGCTGATCAATCAGAGTTCCAGGGACATGCGCCCATATCCTCCTGAATCTCCAATCATCTATGCCGTGGACCCATGATGCTGAGGAGCTCTTGAGTACATTTGAGACTATCTTATCTTGAAAGAATTTCTTGTCGCAAAAGCTCCCACTGGTAAATCCAACAAGAGCGTAAATACCATATCTTTCTACTTTGGAAAATCAAATCCCGTATACCTCTTCTTTGGGTGAACAACTCATAAACTGAACCAAGTTAGGGTTACTTAGAGTTTTTGGTACTAAAGTGCTGGACCCTATCATTAGAGACGTAGCTTATAGTCGGAGGACTGGGCACCGTTTTTCACCTTCTAGACACAAATGGTCCCGTAACTCAGTCGGTTAGAGTGCTGAGCTAATAACTCAGAAGTCGAGAGTTCGAGCCTCTCCGGGACCATTCCTTTTTGCATTTCAAGCTAATTCTTCCACCTCGAGAGAGACGATACCTGACGTGTAATTAATCCCTTTCGGCTACACCGTTAACCCCCAACTCGCGGTAACCAAACCATTATTATGGCCAAGATGTGCGGTGGGGCTGGATTACCCTTCCTGTACGTCTGTTCCTATTGACTTCGACTGTTCTTTTAATGACTGCGCTTCAAAGCAGGGCTATAAGATTGAGGGCCTGGGAGATGTCAACAACTCCACTGCTGTGTCCTGGATTCAAGAGCTGATGGCAAGCGGAGAACCACAGGTCGCCCAAAGTCTTCTGAAATGAGTGCGAGTGATATTTCCACCTAGCCAAGACTTGAGTCATGTATGGCGACTAGTCTCACGGGGAAATCATGAGCCATTAAGAGTGCATAATAACATATCCACTGTTTTCTATAGACTCTGATCGGAGTTTACGATTAACTCCGTTTCGGGGACTTTTTGAACCACAATCGGAACTCGGAAGGTGTTCTATCCGGGGCCCTAAGGATCCTTCAGGGTGAGGTTAACTAACCTTAAAGGTTACCCTTGATCGCTCCACTAGTACGACTTAAGGTATAACAGCAGCTATAGTATGCTCAGGTTAATTCTTCGTAGCTCATATGGCGTAAGCCCATGCGTAAAATGCAATGGCACAATGTATCAGAGTGCTATTGGTTGACAGCTTCGCTGAGCCTTTGTGGGCCTGGGACATTTATCCGCCGTTAAGCCTCTTGGCTCGAGATGGAGCGATTTATGCCGTTCGAACTTCTGAAACACGAAGTCTTAAGTCCGTTTGTTTCCTGAATTTGCAGCCTTGGCAACCCTTTTAAGGGTAAATGGCTCCAGTTTATGCGATGCAGAGATCGGCGGGTTGGTTTATAAGCGAGAGTAGTTTATTTGAAATATTGAGATAAGCAACCAACTTCTTGATACCAGGCCGTTCAACTCTCGACATATATAAAGGGTCCAGCATCCTTAATACGATTCATAGAGCAGAACAGCACACCAAGTTCACTCGATTGAATCAGGCATCGAGCTCTCCCTACTTCCTCTCCACAATGCAGCCACCCAAAACCATTCTTGTGACAGGAGCTTCCGGCTTCGTGGCTGCTCATATCATTGAAGCCTTTATCTCCGCAGGTTATCATGTCCGAGGCACAGTTCGCTCTGAAGCTACAGCGGAGAAGGTCAAGCGTATCTTTTCACGACACAACCGACAGCTAAGCTTTGCCATTGTCCCTGACATTGTCAAGGACGGTGCCTTCGACGAAGCAGTCAAAGGTGTCGATGGAATCATGCATACGGCTTGTCCCGGCGCGATCGAAACAGACAATAACGAGCGGGATATTGTGCAACCTGCTATCAAAGGAACTATCAATATCCTCAAGTCCGCTCATAAGCACGCACATCAGGTCAAACGCATAGTCATCACGTCTTCCTTCGCTTCCATGATCGACATGTCTAAAGGTACCTGGCCCGGTCATGTGTACTCCGAGAAAGACTGGAATCCCATGACATACGAGCAGGCTATAAGTGAAGGCACCTCCAGTGTGCAAGCGTATCTTGCCGCGAAAAAGGTCGCGGAGCGTGCTGCGTGGGACTTTGTCAGAGATGAGAGTACTTCTTTTGATCTCGTGACTATCTTGCCGCCTATGATCTATGGCCCCAATATCAACGCCACCCATGTGTCACAGTTGAATATTACCTCGGCTGATGTATACCGGTTGATGTCTCCGGATTCAAAGCCAACTGACGCCATACCTGACAATGGCTTCTGGTCTTGGGTTGATGTACGAGATGTTGCGCAGGCCCATTTGAGAGCTTACGAAGTTTCGGAAGCTGGGGGCGAGCGGTTCTTTATCTGTGCTGGAAATTATAGTTATCAGCAAATCGCAGATATTTTGCGAGAGAAGGTCCCTGAAGTGAAGGATCGCGTACCTCTCGGAAAGCCTGGGTCGGGTCTCGGAGGCGTTGAGTTATATACCTCTGATGCCGGGAAGTCCCAGAGAATACTTGGACTTCGTTATCGTGGTCTTGAGGAGAGTGTTATCGAGTCGGCTTATTCCTTTTTGAAGCTGGAGAAACAGTTGAACTGAGGTATGACTACCTTGCAAGAGTTGGCGGCTAGAGATAGTTTTTATGTTTGAAGTAGTTTGTCATGGCCTTGCGACCAAATAAATAGAAATAATTCTCTCTTTAACCTCTGTCTAGACTTCGACTCACATCATTCTATCTTTAAACCAAATCTATGTCTTTGTGCAACCGAAGCTGAGCTATTTCCTGTCGGGGATATGTGTAAGTCTTCGCAGAATTGAAGAAAAATCAGCATGGGCGGAGAAAGACATTGTAGGAAAGACGTATTATACAAGGATATATCGAGCCCAGACTGCAATGATGTCAACGATAGAGGGGGTATGTACAACGGTCATATGAGGTCTAAATACTTCATTTCCCAGGGTACTGGCACGTGTACTAAGCTCGAATTTCTCAGATACGCTGCGAGGGCCCAAGAAAATAGACAATACATGGTCCTATGTTAATTATAATTGTGGCGATCTTGATCCCTCTGGGGAAATATCCAAGTCGTCGTCCCTCTGTTTACTGGATTCTCATCGCCTAAAGGCGAAACAACCATAGTTTAATGTGAACGACTTTGAGTTTTGATAATCTATGTATAGTCCCAATAGGCTACAATGCCATTACCGAACATGCAGCCGAGTTAAATCATTGAATGTTAATGATCGTAGAATTTTCCCTCCTTTAGGTGTTCGCATGCTGTACGATAAGGATATTTTACTAGTGTAGCTCTGTGCCTAGCAGTGCTCCATTGTACTTCCTTGTACCTCACACAAGTTAGCGTTGAAATCTAGCAAGAAGTAGTAACCCGCCAGTCTATGTTTAATTAATGGGAGATGGCGGTATTGGCTGCCGTAGTCTATAGTGTGCAAGTCTATTGGTCAACAGCCTGGCCGCAATTCAGGCATTCTTTCTGTGTTAGACATTTCCTAGCGTAGGTATTTCGAAAGCTCATCTGCTAGTCACCGTACAGTTCGTTATGGGCTGTGCGAGAGGTGGGGAACTGCGGCACCATAATGGATCAGCCTATCACCTGCTAACGTAGAAAAGCCGGGTGCTGCTCTTTGGTCCTTACTTCTCAAGGGTGTTTTGCATAAGGCTGTCGGACCAAGCATATCTCTCGTGAAGCTGTGGGGTGAAAGGACTTTAGTGTCTTCGGTGGGGTGTTTTGCATTATCCATAAAAGAGCTGCAACTCTGTCCTGATCGGCAATCTCGTGATATGATGGAGGAAATGGCCCAAAGCACTGATGGTGCTTCGTAAGGATCTGGATATTGTACTCATCGCTGTCGGCCGGGACATCAGGCATGAAAATATGGAACCCTTGCCCATAGATAAGACTAATAAGCTGTAGTCCCAGGGAGTTAGCCACGAAACAGTATACTTATTTCAACCTGTTGACTTACCATTACACCGAAGAAGCAAATATCCGTTGCAGCACCCCATTTCATTTGTAACTGTGTCTCAGGGCTCCTGAAAATAGGTGTTCCAATTTGATCACCATCTTGGGCGTAGCGAGAGTTCGCAGGAACAGTACTTCCAAAGTCAGCCAGCTGAACATCGCTGAAACGGACTCCATTCTGTCCATAGTTAAATACAACATTGCTAGGTTTAATATCTACCATTTGCATCAGATATATGAAGTCAAAGGTCTTGGGAAAAGAAACCTACCTGTATGAACATAGCCGTCTTGATGTAAAACAGCTAACGTGGCTAGCACTCTCTTTGCAACGTACTTGACTTCATATCGCGTGAGCTATTGGCTATTAGATGGGTGTAAAAGATCGTCATCAAGATGATTAGAATGAGGGCAGCTGGCCCCGGAGGATCTTCAATTTCATCGAGAAGCTTCCGGACATACGGAGTACGACTCTGGAAATGAAGGACATCTCTTTCATTCCGAAGGCGAAAACATCGGACACTCTTGATAATGACGCTCTCTTGGTTTTGGGCTCTGTAAGTTGCCATCTGTTAGATTCCACTAGTCTTGAAGAAGACGAGGAAGGGTTACAATGCTGGCCAAACACTGTCTTGTCACTGTTTCGTGTTAGTGTAAAGTCCTATTTTGCCCCTTAATTAATGACCTAGAGACAGAGAAACTGCTTGGGCCATGTCGATTGAGATGGTAACAATGAAAAATAAATCTGCCTGGCAATAGCACAGTTCTTCCTTTTTGGCGACAACGGGTTAGATACTAAATCTGTTGTTGGATTTCATGCTAATGGGAGCCGAAACTCTCAATCACGGTTCAATCCTTCAATCATATTCAGGCATTAACCGCGAGGTACCGTGACGAGAACGACTCTGGAGCAAAAATACAATAATCTTACAGGCCAGAGAAGTCTAGGACTGGACAAACCTATTCCTGGATCTACAAGTATTATCTTGCGACTATCCCAGCTCACTGAACCAAAGTAATGGGTTAATCAGCACATATGTACAAAAATATTACACACCTCCTCTGTACATACTACAGTTCATCCCACCAAACCGTCTATGCTCACTAACACGGACTACCCTCTCTATCTTGATCCCCAAAACAAGACCTAAAATATCATCTTCGGCCTCCACCCGGTACAAACCCCCCTGGCCAAAGCAAAAAACAAACAAGCACAAGCATACACCAACCCACAGAAGAGTATAAGTCCCGAATAATCCTCATGATCTCCTCCCGAGCTCTGGGCTTTCAATATCTCCCCGGCAATAGGTATGGCAAACAAAGCACCAACGCTAACCAACGAATATGTCGTTCCGTATCGCTTTCCAAAATCCTCCGTGGACGAGATCTGCGCAACACAAACGGGGGCAAGACTTATCGCTGAACCGCTCCAAAACCCAAAGAGTACAGCGTATGCCACGATTGCTGCGGTATTGGACCCGGCTGGTAACCACAGTGCCAGTGTGAAGACAGTGCATACGAGTGTTGTGATGACCATGACATTGAACCGGCCGTAGCGGTCTGCGAAGTAACCAGGGACCACGCGTCCCAGGATCGAAGCGGCGTTGAGGATTGAGACGAGCTGATATGCTAGGCTCTCTTGCATGTTGTGTGATTGGGCGTAGGAGGTTAGGTAGGTCAGGGGGATTAGTAGGGCAAAGTCGATCAGGAAGATGGCGACCGTCAGGAGGGAGAATGGGGTTTCGCGTAGGGCTCTAATGTCGATTTTGCCTCCGCCTAGCCTTTTAGGGGGCAATCTGGTCTTGAGGAATAGGATGCATAGAACGCAGAAAAAGCTGCAGATGAAACCGGTTATTCTGATCGCCCATGGAAAACCGACAACTTCGCTGAGGTTCCATATCATGATGGGGAAGATAATGCCGCCGAAACCACCGGCTGTGGCTGCGATCCCTGTTGCTAAGGCACGACGTCGATGGAACCAATGCGCAATGCAGGCTACGCTCGGGGTGAACACCATAGATGAGGAAATTCCACCGAGGACGCTGAATCCGAGCATAAATTGGTAGTATTCTAGGGAAAGGAAATTACTAACATCAGTATGGTAGAAAATGAACGTTTTCCCAAGTTAGACAAACCTTTCGCCACACTGAAAACCATGAGAGAGCCGACAAGTCCGATACATCCTGGGATAAGCAAAGGCCGGAGACCGTAAGCATCAAAAATGGGCCCTTTTTTGGTTAGTCTTGAGCATCTGGTAACATAAAAGATTTTCATAACGCATACCAACTTGCACGCTTCCGAAGTAAAGGAAGAAGGAATATAGACCGAATATCCAACCGATCGAAGCTTTGGAATAGTCTTTCAACTGGTCACTCGCCAGCCATGCTTCCAGAACACCTATTGTATTCAAAAGACCGAACGAGGGAACCATCGCACACCACGACCCCAGCACCACGCTCCATGCGCGCCATCCGCCGTCTGGAAATTCTACGGCACTGGCTTCCTCAGTCCGATCTGCATACGACCTTGCAGTCTTGTCCACACTGCTATTCGAGGGCATTTGCGGCGGGCTGCTTTGGGGGTTACTATCGCCCATGTCAATTTTTCTCTTTACCTATGAAAATCTACAGTTCATTGTCCATTCCCCGATGAATTACTCGATTTTATATAGATAAGATTGAAAGTTGTTTGATGAGTTAGGGCATGCCAAAAAGCTTCACTGCAAGCTAGTCCATTTCCGGACGCCGAAGTGGTGTCCGCGGAACCCGAACGAGCATTTTCTTCTCCTCCGTCTTCTTCCACCCGTTTCTTCTCCCCTTGCTCCTTGACCTACTTAGCGTTTATCATAAAGACTTCTTGAGTGAGTGCCACGGGTTATGAATTGGATCCGAAGTCAAATACATCAACTCTCAGACCGGAAACTACTTATTAGATCATAAAGTCTTCCTAGAGCAACGCTAAAATACTTGAAAACGGCACATGAAAAAGTAAGGTAACCAGACTTGTCATCAAACTGAGACCTCACGCCGGACCGTCGGAAGCCGCTACACTCCAAAATTCTGCACTGTCCAGAACAGATAGCGTGTGACACGAAGAGAGACTTCTTGCTCGACATAATCAGTTTGGAAAGATTGAGAGATAGACTGCAGTAAGCCCACGGCACATGGCAGCAATACCTTCGAATACCATGTCCCTCTCCATAGAATGCTTTAAACACTCAATTCCATGTCGTAGCTCTTCAATAAGTCTCCTAGCGTCTTGGATTTCTGTGGCAGGCTCTGGACTGGCCATCAGAGGATAGCAAACTGAAAGACGATTGGAAGCAATAGCTGCCCGTATTCGATGCACTAACATAAACATCGAGTAGCTCGCCTGCATAGCAGTACACTTAAAGTACGGCAAAGCACTCGGGGGGGTCATCGCTAAGTGGGCGGGTGATACTGCAGAATGTATTGTGAGGCTTTCAGTGGTTGTTGGTGCGTGATTGTTTTCTGGGCTCCCGGTCGACCGGGATGGTTGTGGACGGGGAAGACTTCTAAAAGCTCGAGCCACAGCAAGGGATGACTTCAGGCACCTGACAGAGGATTGCTGCTCGGTAAACGGAAACACAGTCTCAAAATTGGAGGATAATTCTGGATATGGGGCTTTATCATTGATAGCAGTCAAGTCACAATGCTTTTCAACAAAAAGCGGAATGTCCATGAACGCTCTAAACCGATGGAGTCTAATCCGTGCCCTGTGAGGGAGAAAGCAACGTTAGAATTCCAAGTAACGCAAGCGTATATGGGAGGGACCCACGAATGGAGCAAGAGATATGCTATCAGTCCCATACCCTGCATTGCAAGGCCTTCGGCATCGTCCTTGCATGTTAGGCCCATGTAGAATTCAGACTCTATCGCCAGGGACACTATACGTGAATCAAGCTGATAGATCTGATCACGCAAGTCATGCGACTGTGTGGGAGCTTTGTGCACTAGGCCTAAGGCGACAAGAACGTCGGAGACAGAGATGTAAGCTTCCTGAGCTTTAAGCAGAACGGGCCATGGCTGATAGACGTGTTAGCTACCCATATATCAACCAAAACCGGTGGAGTGGACACAATTTTTACCTCTGGTCCGCCTAGGAAAGATTTAAATTCGGGATATGGAGTAGTTATCCTAGAATCATTTGCGGTGATGATAGGTGACTGATAGTAAATTATTGATTAGGTTGCTGTGAGAGAGCTTGTTCAGGCTCTGGACACTCACTGATACTTGCACGACTGAAGTATGATATAGTATGGAAACCTGTGATGAGTAAGTGACCACTGCCCATATAATTGAGATCTGGAAACACCAACCGCGGACCACCATGCTCGTCGGTGTGCTTCTGAAGCATTGGAGTCCAAGTTATGGAGGCCAAGATCCATAGCCGTTGTAATGGCCTGGTTCGCGCGGGTGCGCATCCGGGATACATTGCCACATTGGCAATACTCATAGATACTAAGGGCAACTAAAGCCAAAACTGGATAAAGCTGGAACGGGAGTTCGACATGAAGGCGATCGTCTTCCACATAGGAGGTTGAGTTGTTTGTAGACACAAGGTCGTCAATCTCCTTCTCTGCTCTGCTGAGAGCGGCTTGCGCATAGAGACGTGCATATGCGCGTCGCATCCAAACATGGCATTCCCCTGACGGCTGCGGGTCCTGAGGAGGTGGAATCAAGGAGAGTATTGCCGATAACGCTAAGCTCAATGAAGTCGTCGGCCAATAAGGCAAGCAGGACTGGTCCACCGTGCCGGCCTCTGCAGCTGGGGGTTGAAAGACTCTCGGTCTATCCTCATATGGTGGACTTACTGGAGCTGGTAACAGCGCTAGATACGGATGAATGTAGATATAATACGCGTTTGCTCTAACTCCAGTTAGACGCAGGGCAAGTTTGTCAAAGATATTAAACTCAACATTCTTCATCGCGGACTTACATATCTTCTTCAGAGTTATAAACCCTCAAAACGGGATTTTCTATCTCGCTAGGTGGTTCTGTATCCTGAGGACCCCAAAGCAGACCTGGGTCCACACTGAGGTTCTGCTCTCCACTGAAAGGGGTCAGGAGACCAATGATATGCCGAAGACTGGGGCCAGTCTCCTGACCAGAATTCGTGTCCCCCGTACCTGGAACATTCAAACACTGAGGGATATCGACTACGGTGTCGGAAGTCGATGGATGTGACGAAGATATCGAAGAGCGAGGTACGCTCATGCGTTGGAGTTCCTTGTCATTTTTTGTGCTTCGCCGCGGTCCCCCACGCCGACTGGGACGGTAAAAGCAACCACGGTTTCTTTCAAAACACTGCGATGACGGCTAACATCAGCGATCTGAATCTCTCATGCGAGCTTGAGATCAAGTGGCCCTACAGGTTTACAAGGATGCTGACCGTCGCAGCGTGTTTTTGATGCACGACTGCACGCTAGTCAGCACGCGGCTATCAACACGCAGGAGACATTGCGGAATTATACCAGGCAAGACATGCAGCTTTCACTGGATGATTTATCACTCGTGGCATCCTGTCGGCAGAAGCATAGACTGATGTAATTCATCAGCAATCTTCAATCCCGCTACCAGATTAGGTGAAACGCTCACCACGTGATCAAGTGGGTTACATTAGCTAGCTAGTTAGCGCATAATTCTGCTTACTAATATATCAATCAGTTATGCACAACGTTGTGAGTTCACTACATCAGTTTCAGATTAATTCATCAAGTTCAAATATAACATTACTATCGTAAAAAAGTTGTTAGAATGTATTCGCCTAATATAGTAGTAAAGTAACTATCATGTCCGTTATCACACGCCCTACAACATTGAACTTCCATGGTGATTCGGAGAATATATATTCGCTCCCTCACCCGACCTATCACTTAGTACAAGCTCTTTGTTAGAGTGCATAAGTACCTCCCGATTGCTTGCGATTTTGGTCTTTCTCTAAACTGTGATAAACTAACAAAATCTTTGATCTATCATAACCCTAGACCACTGGCAACTTTCCAAATTACCTTGTTCATCAAGTCCGGACATCCGAACGAACATAAAGTGCCCTTTTACCCTTGCAAGTTGCTGCCCTCGGGCTCGAGCTTTCCGGCTCCGTGTTACGCAGAGTTGCACAATGAGGTCAATTACCGACATATCGAATGAGTTATTTGTGAGGCAGTTACCTCACCGGTTATACGGAATAGGGTTAGGTAGATATGTTGTGAGAGTCATTGGAGGTGCGTCCGTGATGCGCCAACGAAAGTCTCGCGTTGGGCAATCAGCCCCACTTAAACCTAGCGAGCTTAATATCGTCAGTTAAGGTTGGGTTTAGGTCACTAGCTTCCATTCAAGATCCACCATGTGGAGTAAACATCTGTTGGGTATTTCGTAACGGAAAAGGGAAAAAAAAGAGAAAGAAATCATCAACATATACGGTAAAATAAAGCAAAGTCATGGGTGGACGAGCTCGGTCAAGCTTATGTTACACAGACAGACACAAAAAGAGTCGCAGCCCCAAGGTCACGGGAGAAACTAGTCTCAAAGGATGAAAACAAAGAGGAACCCTCGTCCATGGAACTGCCAACCGACTACTACTTACTCCTTCCTTGCGCACTCCGACTGTGTCACTGCGCGCTCACTCCTCAATTGTCCACTTTTGTTGTACTGTGCCATTGTACCTGCCGGTTACCTGAGCCATCATGGTAGGGGTTTCGAACAGCAAAGGATGTCGCATGTGCGTGAATCGGAGAATCAAGGTTCGTATTTGCTATGTTTATTTTTAGAATGGAGTAATCCCTTCCATCCGGATGATGTAAAAAGAAGATAAACAGCTCCGTACGGGGTAGGTGGACTAATCTGGCCTTATAGTGTGATGAGACTCGGCCTCAATGTCTGCGATGCATCAAAAGAGGTTGTGAATGTCCGGGCTATAATCGTCACTTCAAATTTCGCGACCAGACACAAGCGCTGCAGCAGCGATACCGACGAGAGCCTTTGGTGCGCCCCAGTCGAACCCCGCCGAGAGTGCAAAGGCAGAAACAGACCCGCCCAACAGAACTATCCGAGCTCATCATCGACGAGGTCTTCGCTCCCGGTCTGACCTTTGCGGCGCTGGACATCCAAACAAAGGAGCTGTTCAACGACTTTCTTGATTATTACTTTCCGGCGTATTCTATATGGTCCTCCCGACTAGAGGTAAATTGGATGGATTTTATACGCCAGCAGGGACTTACCTGTCCACAAGCGTTGATTTGGGCAATCAGAGCACTGAATACCTTCCATATGGGAGTTGTTCGAGGTGATCAAGGAGCTATCGCCTGCGGCCGACATATGTATGGCCGAGGAATAAAGCATCTTGCGTATATCCTACAGACACCCGCTGCGCTCACCGATGAGACGCTAGCGGCAGCGATTTTGCTTGGTGGGTATGAGATGCTGGATGAAAGCTGCAAGAATTCTTGGTTACTCCACTGCGGCGGCATCCGTCACCTTATGTGTACGCGTGGACCTGCTGCGCATAAGCATGGCATAGGTCGGACGCTAATGCTGTCCTTTCGAAATTTTCTGGTCACAGAGGCTTTTAGGCAAGGGGAATCATGCTTTTTGGAGAAACCAGAATGGTCATTGATAGCCAGTGAGAGTTCCGGTACAGAAACTGAGAGGAATGAATATGACCTTGTCAGTCAGGCTACGGAGTTCATCTTTAACGAGACTGTTAGATGTCCAGGTTACTACGCAGCTACGCGCGCTATTATTGAATCTCAGAGAAATACTAAGCCTGCTGATATAGGCCAGTTGGTTGGGAAGATGACTGGAACGAAAAGCAGGCTTACCCGGCTTCACGCAAGTATTAGCTTTGCTTCGAAGGAGGACGCAACTACAACGCCTCAGGAATCACCTACCGGAATGACTGTATCGGAATATGCCAAGTATGTAATGGAGCAGCCTTGCATTACTCTGCTGTCATCGGTTCTAGCGCTTCTCGACCAGCTTATGACTGTGCTCGAGCTACATCAGAACAGCCGATCGCTTATTGAATTCAAGAGTGAGAACGATGGTATACGGACCGATCATGAACCACACAATTCAATGACGTCTGCGGTACTGGGGGCTAAAATGCAGGAGGGGTTGAGCAAGTTCTCAGCAGCGATGGTCGCTCCGAGTATACGTGGTGTTGCTATACCAAGCGTTGAGGAGTAACCCTTCAATGATGCGATATGCCAGCATGGTCATATGATCAATGAATATGGAAGAGAAAATACAACTTCGAAATGGAACAACCGCGGGACAGTCCCACAGCAGCTTATGAGTAAACATAGGCAACTATTTTATTTTCATAATACACCGTTTATCGCGGTATTCCTTTCGGTTGGTTTCTTTCTTTTCTTCTAGTTTTGAATGTGAAGAACGCGCTACGATCAAGCAAGCTGTCAAGCTGCCTCCGCCCTTGGCAAGGTACACCGAAAGATGAAGTTAACCAACGCCTCCCTACCATCCACCTTGACAGGTGCCTCTGTATGCAACGCCCCACGCACATCCTTTCTCTCGAGTTCTAGTCCAAGTCTTTCCCCATCTGATTCTAATCCATCTGCTACATGTGGCGGGATCACCTCGTCACTCTCTGCAGAAAGTAGGAGAATGGGAGGAGGCGAGCGAAAGGATTCGGAACTTGTACAACTGTGCCCAGACCTGGGCGGCATCGGAGCTCCTGACCTATCCCCCTGGGTGATAGCATCGTTTTGCTCCTTATTCTGGTCCCGCCAGCGAGCAATCCTCTCCATTGCCGTGGTACAGCTCCAGTGATTCCACGAAAAGGGCCACAGGTATCTATAGGGGAGCCATTTCTGTGGGTATAGACTTATAAGCATGTCCTTGATACTGGAGGACGGTGCTTCGAGAATCAGTCCAGCGATGTGTACTGGGCGAGGGACTCCCGTCTCATTTACAGATGACTGGTCGCCATCGTGACGGGAGAGGTAAGTAGCAGTAGCACTACTCGCAATGGCTGATCCGAGACTATGCCCCCAGAGGATGACCTCCAAATCGGTGTCTGGTGCAGTATAGGTTTCCGATACCCAGTTGAGGAACGCTTGCGCGTCAAGCTCAATACCAGACTGCGTTGCGCGACCCGAAGAAGTCCAGTAACCGCGATATGATAAGGCCACTATGCTGAATTCAGTGCCATCTGACGGAGACGTAGATAGTGGCGTAGACTTCGACTTTTCTTTAATTGTTCGCAGAACTTGAGAAAGAAGCGGCAACCGAAGGGGAGTTGAACCGCCATTACCCTGGAAATAACATATGACGACTGACTTTCGTTTCTTTATCTTCGTACTTTGGGGGTCACTTCCTCCAAAGGTCGCAGATTCAGTGCGACCACTACGGTTGTGGACTGGGATGCGACCTTCACATACCGCTAGCTTAGTCCCATCGAGACTCCGGATCTGCTTCTCCGTCCATTGGACCGGCTTACACTCAGCCGCGTAGTCCACGATCCTCTCGGACCGTGCAAGCGGCGGTAACCATGAAAGGTATAGAAGTTTGTCTTGCAAGACAACGATCCAGAAGCATTTCCATGTCCAGAGACCGAGCAGGAGTCCGACAAAGATTAGAGGTGGCACAAGCAGAGAAGGAATAGCTGCAGTGGCAAAGTTGCGCGGCCGTTGGAATTTATACAACAGCGTCTTATCTTTTGACAGATACTGGGTGATATTTTTTTTCTTTCCAGAGACACTGTTGGAGTTCCGATTGAAATAGTCCTGATTGGAAAGGATGTGATAGTGTGAACGGCCCGGTCGGTTCCATCGTCCTATGTGAGTTTGGGAGCGTATTGCCTTTGGATAGTTGCGCCATATGCGCTTCATAGTCCATGCTTTTATCATCGACGATAAAGAAAGCGACTTTTATGACACAAAAAGCGCGAGGTTATGGTGACATTGCATGGGTCACGAGGATGATGAGAGATTAGATACAAAAGTCGGCGATGAACGGAGGGTAGAAAATAGTTCCGGGGTTGGTGGAATTGTCTTGGCACAGTAGTTCCACTTCCGTTTCACTTATTTCCACGTTCAATATTAGCTGTAGCCTTGGGGCTACAAGCCCTAAGATATGGTGTTTCCATGGAAAGAGGAGAAGTGCGCCTCAAAGATGAGCATGTATAACCTTTCCAAACACCGTATTTTCTGCAGTAAACCTCGCCCACACTTTACTTTCTCTAAGCATTGATCCTATCCTTCGTCCTCCATAGTACCCTGAGAACGGATTGTGCGAGAATTATTCGTTAAGAATTATTTTTTGTTGTGCAACTACCACAGACAGAAGTCAACATACTTCATATATTCTATATCTCATAGTGGGTTGTAGTAGGCACATAAATAAAGAGAAGTCCTGCCTCCTAACATGCAGTCTAGCGTGACCAATTACTGGCTGTGCCACATAAAACACAGTCTCTAGACATCAAGTTTGAGCGCGACAACCTTGCCCCCCTTATGATGGTTATTATCAACAGGCTCCCGTGTCTCTCCACCTGTCGTGATATAGAGCACATTGCCATCCAGCTTAGTCCTCCCAACAGCCGCAGATGTCGCAGTCATCACTGCCGTCGAGTTCCTCCCCCCTGCCACGACATGCGCTTTGCCATTAGGGGATACGTTCGTTATAACATTATCCGTCAAGCCAGCAAGATAGGCCCCCGCAGACGTAACAGCAAAATCATCAGCCAACACTCCTTGCGCAACAGTCTTGGGCTGTCCAATCGTACGGCCAAACTCATCTAAACGAACGCGATAGAACGATCTTTGTGGCGAGTTCACATAGTAAAGGTAACCGTCCAGGACCCTGATACCATTGACCCCGAGTCTTGGTCCTAAGGCTGTGCTGGTGGCTGTTGTATTATCCCTTATCATAATGCCATAAGTGGCCCGTTCAATGTCCACATGCCAAATAAGACCCAAGGACGAGTCCGAAATGGCCAAAGATGAATCGTTAAGGGTTGCCATCCCGTTCAGCGTCCCGGCTGGAATTGTGATATTGATTGAATTGACTACCGGCTCTGTCATCCTTAAATCGACCTTCCAGAGAGAGTTCGAAACGATTGTCACAAAGACGTCTTGGTCAATCTCTGTGATACCGGTCAGTGTGCCGGGGTATTGAAACTGGTGGATCAGGCGTGCATGACGGGAATCAGTTCCGTTGAATGGATTGATTTCCCATAGCTGTGCCTTGTTGAATGCTGTGACGAGAACGTTGCCATTAGAGCGGACGGCTATATTCTCCAGCCAGGTGCCGTTCGGAAATTGATACACATCTCTCAGACGTGGTGAAAGAGATGTTGGGACCGCAAGGGCAAAAGATAAGTAGATACAAAGAGATATGAAAGATAAAAACATGTTGTTATGAAAAAGTCCGATGGGCATAATGCCTTTCGTCTAATGCATAGGGCCAAAGGGCATTTATATAGAATGTGGACCCGCGGCTGGAGTATGGAGATAGAGCACCAGAATCCGCGATTACGGGGGCATTCAATATATTTCAAGAGGCATGCGATTGTGCAAAATCTTGAATACTCCAGGGATGATGGAATTCGGTAAGCAAAACGGAGTTTAGCGACATATTTCGGAGTTACGCCCGTCGCAGGTGAATATCCGCTAACCAGAGCACGCTGCTTACATGGTGGGCCTCTTTCTCCACTACGTTGTTTCCCAGCGCTACTCCAACGATGGATTTCCCTCTCCCCCACTTTAATAAGTTTACTTTAGTTCAAGGTAACCTTTTTGCTAATTCTATTTGCTCGAGAGTTTAATACTCTGCGTCTTCGCTCAGACTGGGACAATCCCTAAGAAGCCACCATGGAATATACATCCGCGCAAGGCAGCTCCAGGAAACGGTTTGGCTTGCTACGTACAAAGCCCTCAAACTTCAATGAATCCCACTCAATTTACGGTAAAACTTGAACAGGAGTGATGTACATCAGCCAGTAATTGTGAAAGGCGCTTCTCAATCTCGTCTTCAAAGCGAAAGGGATGTCTTGATGCGCTTTCAACGCCATGCCCCATCCATTCGACCACTACTTGATGAGATCGTGTAGCCGTCCGATCCACCAGTAATACTGCTCTAAAACATCTAGATGATACTCTTTATGGATGCCGCAGTCGCTCAGAGACTGACAAAGTGAGTGATGAAATATGTCGCAGAACCAATCTTGGAAGCGCTGGGGTTCATACATGATTATGACTATGTGCATACATATTAATCCCGTTTGTCCTACTTTAATAATTGTTCATTGTGCTAGATGACCGTGTTAGAATACACATGCGTCATTGCTTATACAGTTAAGAGCTGTCTAACAAGGGCCACATATTCAGTCATCATGCCACAGACCAGTCCTACTCCATATCAAGCGCTGATTCCATGCTCAAGCAGCCATGAAAAACTTCCACGTGGCATCTGGAGCTAGCGGATTCCCAACACCAAGAGGTGCAGCGTCATGCCCGCCATCATAAGCAATAAGCGAAACAGGCTTAGAGCACCCCTGAAAATCCGTTCGAACCGAACTGTGACTCCCAAGTCCGGGTCTACCAACGTACGCTGGTTGGCACCCGTTATTCGCAACAAACTTGTTTGCCAAAGTCACACCCCCGTCAAATGGCAGAACCGGGTCACTTATTCCATGAATACCCAGATAAGCAATAGGATCATTTCCGCCATCACACCCACTAATCAGTCCACCACTCAACACGCTCACAGCTCTGAACTCTTTTGCCCTTGCACAAGCAAGCGCATAGCTCATTCCACCACCCCAGCTGAACCCTGTCGCGAAGCGAGAGCTCTGGTCTATGCAGAGGTCATCTTCAACCTGCTTCATAATGGCGTCGATGAGGGCTACATCTTCGCCGTTGTTGTTGGCCCAGCCAGCGTTCCTGCCGTTCGGGGCTACCAAAATTGCGCTGCCCTGCGCTCGAGTTTCAAGGCCGTACCAGGGCTCGACGCCTTCGCCATTCACCACAGATTCCATGTTTCCACCACGCCAGTGGAGACCGAAGATGAGATGATGCGGTTTGTTGGCATTGTAGTTGTCAGGAATCTTGAGGATGTACTCGCGGTCGTTAATTCTGTGGACTCCGTTGGCAAGAGTGGGCTGTTTACCGCAGCCGGAGGAATTGGCACCGTGGACTGAGGTAAGGGTGCTTAGGACCAGGACGGTCTGGAGAAAGATTGATTTAATCATTTTAACTGACGAATAAACGCGATAGTGATTGATGTGGACTCTCTCAGATCGAAGAGTTGTAATAATACTCACTGTGCAACTGACACTCTTCAGAAGCTAATGGTGGGTTTTATAGCCAGTGCCTTGCATTTGCAGGCTGCAATATTGCCGGATGATTCAACCACCTATATGATTCCTCGAAGATCCATTCCCGCAGAAAAACGGAGCTCGGGATGATGTTGTTTTGGGAAGGAAGTCCGATATCACCTTCCTTCAGCCGTGCGCCACCCGCACCTGGCGTGATACACGCAAAGTTGGCATCTTCGTCTGAGACCCTCGTCTGATATCTTCCGTAAAGGAAACAGGAGCATCTGCAGGGCCTGCCAGATCAGCCTGTCTGGTTAAAAGGACTGCCAAGAGACGGAACTTGTTACCCACCGGACCACTTCGTGTTGGGGTCAAAATAGTGTGGTAGGTGTAACAATGAACGTTGGCATCTTATTGGGATTCTCAGCTTTAGTCCCGCCTCACAGCGGTGTCCAACAAGCGGGAAATGACTGCAGACATTCTTGATTAGGCTATTCTCCTGCGCTACAGTATGCAGTCTGCAACAATCTGCGTGACAGAATGTCGGTGGGTTTAGCCAGGACCTTCCGATTTGCAGGAAGCGATAAATATGACGCCTGACGTACAACGAAAGCCAACTAGGCTGGTATGCCAAGATTCCCCGGCAATTAGAGTATCTTGGATACTGCCGAGGTACTATCACCGATTACCCTATTTGGTAGTTGCAGTTGAAACTGAATTTGCTAGGTGGAGACTAGCCTACCCCTTGTGGGGTCGATACGATCGTTAGTAAGGGCTTGGTAAGGCGTTCTAGGTTCAGTCAGATACTCTGGACCCTGTGCGATGTTTCTTGGCGTCAAAGCCCTTGTGGCCTAGCTCAACGATCAGCGTGGATTCATAGGGACGATGTAACCAAACTATAACCTAGTATCATATAAGCGCCCATTTGACAGCCTATAGTTGAAAGACATCAATCCCTTAATTTCGCTGATTGTGTCAACAGACAGCAGATCCTCTACCTTGTCTTTGATTCCCATTCTTATAATGCTCCTCGTCCGTTGTGGGCGCCAAAACATAGCCTTAAGCCCACTAGGCTTTTGGAGATCGGATTGACGATATTCAGAGTCTTCCTGCTAATCGTATTAAGCAATCTATGATTGATATAATAACTGGCTATCACCCTAGCACTTCCATTAATGCCTCACCTAAAATCAGGCCAGCCCTGTGCACTAAGCTGTGGCGTAGAGGCCCACTCTCTTACCGCTCATGATGGCCTTATGGGGAGGCAAAAGAGCAGATCCACATTACGTACGTAAAAGACTAAGAATAGAATGAAGAACCCAGCAATAAAACGTCTAAAATAAAGCCAATAAAGCAATAACAATATCAAATCATTCGATCCACTGAGCGGTTGAAGAACTAGCATCCCCGCTGATCTGAGACACGGCCTACAGTTAAACACAAGATAGCCTCCAACCCTAGGTATATAGTCTTGGCATGTTTCTGATATAGAGACGGCTTTACTAACAGAACGGAGTCTGAATGTGATCAAGAAATGTCGCACACAAATCGGTGTCATGTAGCTACCACAGGTCAAGATGTGCATCTGGCACGAGAAATCCCTCATTCAAAAAGAGATATAAGAACGAATAAGTCTTCCTATCCATAACCTCAACAGAGTCACTGCGTGTCTGTCTCTTCCGCTCGTTTCTATTAAAATACTATTAGTTCGCTTGGGCCGGTCCCTTATTCGTTCATTAACTTCTCTTTTCAATTTCCAAAATGAAGCTCTCTCTTCTCGCCATTGCGGCCATCGCACCGTTTGTCTCGGCTCATTACTTCTTCGACACCCTCATCATCGACGGCCAGGAAAGCTCCCCGAACCAATATGTCCGCTCCAACACCCGTGCTGCCAAGTACAACCCAACCAAATGGGTGAACATCCGCGACAACATGACCCCTGACATGCCTGACTTCCGCTGCAACAAGGGTGCCTTCACCTTCGCTGGCCAGACCGGCACAGCAGAGGTGAAGGCAGGGTCCAAGCTTGCCCTGAAGCTTGGTGTTGGTGCTACGATGAAGCACCCTGGCCCTGCGCTGGTGTATATGTCCAAAGCTCCCAGCACGGCCAAGACATACCAGGGCGATGGCGATTGGTTCAAGGTCTATGAGGAAGGCGTCTGTGACAAGAACAAGGACTTGAAAAGTGACGCCTGGTGCTCTTGGGATAAAGATCGTGTTGAGTTTACAGTCCCTGCGGATCTGCCAGATGGGGAGTATCTTATTCGCCCGGAGCATATTGGTAGGTCTTCTGCGTTGCTGTGCTTGTAAGAAAGGAATGCTAATTTTTGGATCAGGTGTTCATGGAGCGCATGCTGGAGAGGCTGAGTTCTATTACGCGTAAGTCCACCTTTTCCCATGTCTGTCATTGTTCTTGAGAAGTTCTGACAAAGCTTTTCAGTTGCGCTCAAGTCAAAGTTGTCGGTGGTGGAAATGGACGCCCTGGTCCTACTGTCAAGTTCCCCGGTGCTTACAAGAAAGATGACCCCTCGTTCAACTTCAGCATCTACGGTGGATACAAGGAGTATCCTATGCCTGGTCCGGAAGTCTGGACTGGTGCGTCGGGATCTAAGTCCTTTTCAAAGGTGGTTAACGTTAATGCTACCGGTGCTACTTCCGAAGGTATTTTCGGCCACCGTGAGCACGCTCGTGACTTTAACTACTGAAGTGATCGGCCAAGTGTCTGTCTATGTTTATTGACAAGCATTCGAGGGGAGGTTAGTCTGGAGATGTGTAATTAGTGATGTGGCAATAACCTTTTGAAACATTTGTAGTGATATCGCAAGGTCTTACTTTGAATTGTCCTGAGTGTTTCGTTAGGAGAATTCAATTGTTTCTGCGAAAGCTGTATCTCATTTAGACCTGCTGCTCTCAGTCACCTGGCCTTAATCTCAACGTAACTGTCTCAGTTGGCACAGATCGAAACATAAGGACCCGACGAATAGAAAGTGACCGGTACTCCTGTAAAGCACAAAGAAAAGTTTATAGGGTAAAGTACACTGTTACAAGAAAATGGATGGGCTAGCTCAGCCATTGTCAAACTCCGCGTAAAGCCAAGGATCCTCTAGCAATTCCTTTGCGGTGCTGCGTTCCTATGGACGCCATTCAATCATCCGGCTCACAAATTCAACAAACATCCTTTTGTCGTGGCCGTGTATATTTCCTATTAGATTTTCAAACCTGAATGTTGCCGGCACACAAGCTCCACCTCTCAGGGTCCCTATTAGATCATGTCAACATGGGATTACGGAGACTGTACAAATGGTATGACGATGCTTACCATCGGTTGTATAGAATAGAATAGTCCTGATATTTTCCTTCTAGCCAAGATATCTTTCGGAGGAGATCCTCACAGTGACTCTATGTATGCAAGGTAGTTCGGCTCATTATATTCTTGGTCACGGAAAGGATCGATATCCTTGAATAGTTTTTTACCTTCCAGCAGATCCCACAGCTGGTTCTCAAGAAGTAAGCAGAGTACATATAGAAATATCGTTGAGCATACCATCACTCCTAGGTCCCATGTGTCGGCACCGTATGTATACCCAGCATCCAAAATGGCTTCTGATGCCAGATATATTTCTGCTTGGGTACAACCGCTGTTAGGTCTATCACCACGAACAGAAAGATCAAAATCGACAATGGCAATGATCCCCGTAGTCTTTAAAGTGAGTCCATAATTATTCCGCAAAGGTAGACGATGCGACTATCTGGGCAAATCTTTCGAGGTACGGGATTTTTATATTCATGTTTGGCAGAGTCCTCAAGGATGGATGGGTCTTCGATTTTGACCGTTATATTATCTGGTTTCAAGCCTGACCGAGGTTAGTGTGTTTCCAATTGGTTGCAGGTATACCTATCCAGAAGCTAACCGGTATGAATGGTGTGACACTCAGAGTGAAGATAACCCAATCCGTGGAGAATCATCTGAAGAATAATCTTCAGTACACTAGAAGGAACAACATCTCAAACGAACCTCTCTCGGAACAGCCATAGAGGCTCACGTAAAGGCTCAAAAGCAAGTATCAGGTGCTTCCTTGAACCATTCTCCACATAAACTAAATCGAGAAGGGGTCTATTGCATAGTCGTCCTTTATATTGACGGTTTTTCTCGTTGATTTGGCTTAGAATTTCATGCTCATTTTGACCTGCATTCTCTCGCGAATGATGGGTACTAGTGTTTGTTTATCTTGATAGCTACACACTTGTGGGACGCACCAAGCAGCCAAGGAGCTCCCCGGCGCCTAAGCGGGACCAGGCATTCGTTGCCTTAAAAAGTGGACCGAACTTTGGTTAGGTTTACGAAGAGTGTTAACATCGAACTAGGTACTAGTACTGCAAAGTCTAGGTATCTTTATTTTATGGTAACTTTTTCCCCATTTAGCTTTTCCTTTAGAGAAAATTGTAAAGAATAAAAGGTTGCGTCAGACACAACATGTAAAGAAGTAAATTGCTTAATAGTAGTGTAAAGGTAGATTAAACTGTCAGTGCGACAAATAGCGAAGCAATAAGACCAAGAACAATAGCCATCAACAGCGCAAGCTAATCTCCCCATACGTGTACCCATATTTAACAAGAAGCGCCAGTAGGAACGTTCTCGCACTTGGAGCTAGTCTTACCACCCGTGATGGAGACGCCAGACCAGGTCCAGTCAGTGCAGCTGCCAGATCCACAGAGAATGTAGATATCAGTAGCGTCGCTCTCGACGGTACCGGTAACCTTCTCAAAGGTGATGTCTGACACCTTGATACCGTTGGTAGGGGTACCAGTGGGGCTGCCATTCTCGTAATCCTGCTCAACGATGAGTCCGTACTTGGTAATACCGGAAAGAGTGATATCCTGGAACTTGACGTTGGAGACAGTGCCGGTGGCATCGTAGACGGTCTTGATACGGACACCGTTTTGGGAGTTGACAACCTTAGTGTTGGAGATGGTCACATCTTCGACGGTGTTGTCGCTACGACCACCGACGGAACCGATGGAGAGACCGTGACCACCATCACAGTAGCCGTTGGTGAAAGTGATGTGCTGCAGGTGTATTAGCAAATAGCCATAGAGTGGAATGTAGAAAAGCCTGGGGAGATTCAACTGGCGTGAGGTTATCTTACCGATCCAGAGTTAATGGCAAGACAGTCATCCTGGTTGTACACGGTGGCACCATCAATGGTGATGTAGGTGCTAGAGCCGACATCGAAGGCGTCGGTGTTGTGGCCCTGATCGGTACCAGCGGAGTTATCGATGGTTACATCAGTGATGTTCAGGTTGTCCGCCTGGATGCTGAAGCCCTGGACGGGGGTGTTGTAGATCTTGAGGCCGGTGATGGAAGAGGAGTCCAGCTTGTGGGCAGAGAAGAACTTGGGCTTGGTCTTTCCACCATTGCCACCCTTTCCATCCCACCAGCGGGCTCCGTCTCCGTCAATCTTGGCACCGGATTCCTGTTGGACCTTGATGTTGGTTCCGGACACGGAAATGAGAGGGCCCTCCCACTCCTTATAGCCGAAGGTAGTTTCACCAGAGAAGATGACCTAAGCATGACTTAGTACATACTAACGATAACGGCATGTAGGTACACATCTATGCATACAGTAGTACCCTCATTGAGGTCCGTCAGATCAAGGGTTTCACCAGCGGGGACCTCGATGTTGCTAAGAGTGATGGTCGAGCAAGAGGCCTTGCCCGACTTGGCATCAGCAGCCGAGGTGAAAGTACAGGAGCCGCGGGCTTCAAGCTCGGGTACTGGGACTGCGGCGACCAGCGCAGCGCCAACAGTAGCGGCAAGGACGGAAGATTGGAGAAGCTGCATTTTTTCGGAAAGAATGGATAGGGACTTGGTCAACAAGACGCCTTCAGAAATAGACTGAAAGAAAGATTAAGGAATGGAGGACTCAGGGAGACGATGCTGAGAGAAAGGCAAACATCATCGGGGTCCAAGGCTCCTTTTATATCTCCTTTCTACGGAGTATCTTGCAATACAGCCCGGTGGAGAAGAATATCTCGGTGGAAGCGGGAGAAAATGTCTGAGATTGAAACAAGTGGCTTGAGTCTAGGGCTAAGCTTCCGGTTCGCGTGCAAAAAAAGCTTAGCTGCGATTTCATCGGCCAATCGGCACTGACGATTCATCTACGTTCTACCTAAGGTTATCTTAACATTGATCTGTTATATTTAACTCCTTTGAAGCTACCTACTCTGGGTACAATTGACAAAGATGAGGATGGAACATACAGGATACAACATCTGGAAGGGTCAAAAAGACAGATGCAAGCCAGCCATGGAAACGGTAATCCTGGAGGGTATGAAACGAGACAGCCTTGCCGGACCCTCTGTCGTGATCGGACCGAGTCTCCGCTAACCTACGTAATCTGGCCCCAGTCAATAATATTCAACCCCTGAGCCGATCACTTCCACTTCAACTCAAGGGCCGGAAAAAAAATATCCAGATATACGTTCCGACCAGTGCCGGACTCACCCTGCAAATGCCATGCAATAAGGCTACGTTGCGCGATTGGCGGGATTTCTGGATTTGTGTCCATATTATGGAGACCAGATGCTACATATGATACATGGATAAATTAAACTACCTGGATCAATATCGGTCACTGACCCGGTCTTAGTTGGTGTTGGAATTTGATGTCGTTGCCTAAATTCGCTTTCGCTAAGCTTCTGTCAGCATGCGATCTGATTGATCAAAACCAGTCCAAGCAACAGGGCTGACAATTCTTCAGTCTTCACCTGGTTATTGCGATTATTTGACTCGTTAGTGTCCCAATTTACAGAAACCTTAATAGATTATTATGCCTGACCTGATTACTATTCATCCCAGGGAGAATTTCCGTCTAACATATATCAGCTCAGTCGTCTAGGGCCGTGAAATTATGTCCTCCCGTATCCCGATCCATATAGATTACAACGCACAGACTCTACATAGTTATTGTGCGCCTGACTGCACTCGCAGGTATTGTTGACTGCGTTTGGCGCAGCTCTCACTTCATATGTGACCAAATGGAATGGTAGCATGACCATTACTCGGTCTTACCCTGAGACTACGCACCCATGTTGTGGTATTAGCCCGCTACCCTTCAAGTCTCGAGGATTTGTGTCCAAAGAGGTTATACCACTTTTTACTAGACTTACCGCTAGAGAACAAGCTAGTCTACCAGGCATGTGGGGGCCGAAGGCTATCCACATTTTCCCTACGGAGTACGACCCAAGATGTGTGGGCCCTATATAGCTATGCAAGCACGTGGACGATCGATGCAATACAAGTCGGCTCTGAGACAGATTGGACCAGGCAGGCAACCGTCAAGTTGAAATGAACGTATCTCCTGTAATGCCCCTTACTCTACAAGAAGGTGATAAGCTTTGATTCATTAAGCCTATGTCAGTTGGCAATTTTCGCTCCGTTCATTGATCGCAAACTTGATTGACCAGGGCAATTACCGACTATGTGAATCGTCGTGTCAGTGGCCATTGAGCTGCGTCTTTCCAAACAAACAGTTCTCAACAAGCAATTGCTTATTACTTCCGTGCAGCTCTTGTCGCCGTGTCAAGGTAAAAATCGTCCAAAAAGTCGCCAGCTTGTGTTTCAGACATTTGCAGCTTCAAGTATTTCTGCGGATACAAAGAGTTACCCGGCAGCCATTCATTTCTACCGTCTGGGTAAACATAGTTATGTCCTCCTTCATTTGCATATGCAAACATCTCACCTCTTCCCTCGATGGCATAAAGCACAGTAAGGGGATCCCATGAACTCCGAGACATGTTGTATCCGCTGTAGTAGCAGTTAGAGGTGATCGCGTCTGTGGGGCAGGAAGCTACATACGTGTACCACCGGTAAGCTGCTTTGACTGGATCACCAACGGGTCCCTCTACGGTCAACCGTGCGCCCGAGTAGACAGTCGCCCCAAGTTCACTCCCAGAAAATGTCATGGGCCCCGGCCAATTGTTTACCACAAGAGCCGTTGCGGGAGCATTGTTGCCGTAGAAATTGTACTCATATCCGCATGGGTATGCTCCGCCCATGATGACAAGTTCTTCCACCTTGGCCTTTACCAGGTCATGCCCCGAGAGTGGAGAGTATATATCACCCGGAGATGAAAGAAGCTCGGCGAGCTAGGAAATACCTAAGGCATTACTTCAGGCAATGGTCATTGGCAAAGTACTCACGTTGTCGAGGAACCCAATACTGGCAATGGTCACACTGTGATCATCCGCTTCCGATAGGAGCTTGCGATACAGCTCGACTGGATCCCACGCACTGCTTACGTCTCCCCATGGCATCAATGCATTATGTCGCCAGTTGTATGCAACTTTGCTTGCATATTCTCCAAGTCGGTATGACCAGGTGTCGAAGAACGTTTCGTTGGAATACGGTCGTTTAAGGCCCACTGGAACGTCAGATGAGCAATAGTACCCGAGGATACTGGAGGCAGCCAAGGCACTGTAAATAGACGGATAATTGATCATGACGCCTATTGGTGCGGCTATCGGATGGCCACAGGCCACCAAAAGAGCGGCTGCATCGCTGAGGAGATAATAAGCAACGAGCAGGGAATATGAGTCTGGGACCTCAACAAAAGGCTTACTCAACATCACTAAACAGATCTGTGTCGATAATCAGCTTCGTCTTGGGTATTTGTCCAAAGGCCAATAGGGCTAGGGATAATGCGACTCTAAATGTCCAGAGTACACTCATGCCGACGGTGATGAGCAGGGAGATAAAAACGTAAAGGTGGTCGGCAGTTACTAACTATAGTGGACTAAATCGACTACCGTAGTATAAATTTAATGGAGGCGGAACTACGGCGGACTAAATCGAGTTTCCAGACAATGTAAAATATTACCACGTTTACCAACACCAACACACTATATATTAGCCAATTAGATCTATTTATTAGATTCTACTGTAGAATCCACTAATAATAGTAGACTTTTTATTTGGAATATCGACAAGTCCGGACCCGAAAATATATACTACTTTTATATCTTAATTCTGCATTACTGTAAGAGATATTGCCAGGGCCCGATATTCCACAAGGCCAAAAGGTCATATAATTCGGGATCAACGATCCCGAATGCCCTGGGGTCACCTATATAGTATACCGCCGTTACAATTACTTTGATATTTTCAAGAATTTCTTATCTCTAGATACTAGGGCCTCTAAGTCTCGGTCCTACTTTCTTTAAGTTTAGATACTAAGTATAGATACTACTCCCTCAGAATCAAGATATTATTTCTCTTAAATCTAGGGCCCTAGTCCAGATCTACTACAACTACAACCACTACTACTAACTTAATAAAAATTAATAATAATATCTCAGATTAAACTATTATCTTAAATTGTTAATAATAAATATACTACAGAGTATATAAAGGGCTTTCTAGATCTAGGTTTTGAAGTATGTGGCAGCCGTGGCTGAATATAAAACAATAAGATTTCGGTAATATTGATCAAAAATCTATGTATTGTCCGCAAGCTCGATTTAGTCCACCGTGCGGAACCCCGTGCGGTTTGACGGGCCCCATCGTTCTATATCTATCCACTAGCCCTAAAATCATTCATTCACTCAGTTTGAGGTAGGAAATCATAAAACCCTTTAATATAGAAACCAAACCAGGTGCGAGTAAATCCAGTGAACTTATCTCACATTCCGGAAACGATAGACCAGTACTTGTCCTCATGTGGGTATTTTCAATGGAAGGACGGCAATAGTACATTGTCAAATTAGTCCAAACATTAAGAGATTTAGCAAAACCCATAGCGTACTGAGAGTCTTATAATGATACCTACAAAACCTACTCCTGGGAGGGTAGGTAGGTATACATAATATTCCGCCTGCACCTTCCATGAGTGCCTGGCTAAATTGTAAAGCCGCCTCTTTCTTGGTCTCCTTCTAGTCTCCGCATCTTTACCCCCAGTGCCAAACGACCAACTTGATTGCTCCTCGTCAATTTGCCAAGAATCCAGCCTCAAACTGAATCAGGAATCACTCTTGGCGTTTGTCGAGCAGGTACACAGTGCCTTTGGAGCAGGTAAATATTAACTCACTTAAGTGCGCGTTCTTGGGGCTTGCAGGCATGAGTTCTCGAGTTTGCATATTCCACTGTCAAGAGAAATGACCCATCACGCCTTTGAATCTGGTATAAAACCCTCCATGGACTTGCTTCTCTGCTGCCCTATAACCCTACTTTCCCAGACCTAAGAGCCCGTGCTTTGGCTTGCGATCCAAGTCTCATGGGCCTTTTTCTGCCGCTCCCAATCCCTTCTTAACTTCTTGCTTCTACTTTTGTTTATAGGTTCACCAGCTGCATCTTTTGTTGGCATGCCATCTTCATCCCAAGCACTATATTCACTAGTGCGGAACATGTCCAGATGACTGAGTCTTCCCTTTTCCAGTCTCTCTTTGGCAAGCTTTTCCTGCTTTTCTTTCTCCTGCTGCTTCAATAGCATTTTCCGTGTCTGTTCTTCACGGGACTGTAATAAGTCCCTAGTCACAGGTCTAACCAAGGCAGGTTTATTCTCGCGGTCTTCCAGATAGATACCAAGGTCAAAGAGCTCAACATCTCGTAATCGATCGCACAGGGAAAGCAATTCTTTGGATGACTTTGCTGTGTCTTCCGAGTTACTTGGAGATATCCGCGCGCGGAAATCTTTGAAAACTTGGAAGTACGACCTGGATGCTTGGGATACTAGGCTCTCGTCCACAGGTGTCTGCCCGGTGATAGCTTTGAGTTGCCGATGCGTTACTTCGCTTTGTGATTTTGCGGCTTCACGCAAGGCGTCACGCATGGTTGAAAGTGGATAAAGAAATGGTTTTGCCGGTTCGGGGATGTCAGTTCCTTCCCAGCCAATCCCACAACTCTCAGGGGATACTTTTCCATTTAGACCCAGGATGGTTACAATTCGAGTTACCCATTGAGCTAGGTCTTGCACTTCGTTGAGGTTGGCATTTTGGTCAACGTTATTGAAGGTCGAAACCAATTCGGAGATAACTCTCATAACTTTGGGCGTATCAAAAGAGTCACAGAAATATTGGTGGGCCTTTGCCTTTGTGGTGGCTAGGGCTTGTGCCAAGGAGATATTTGGGTCAGACGTAATATCCGTTGTAGCGCCCGGACCAGAAGGATCTTTGACCTTCACGAAAAAGTTGTTCAGCTTATCTTCCCACACGGACGCCGTTTGAATGAGTTCGGGTGTAATCTCAACCCCATCCCGCCAGCCCCCTAGGAGGAAAACAATTCGCAGGCTTCGAGGAGTCCAGTCACCCTTGTCAAGGGCACTCCGAACAGTGGTGAAGTTTTTCAAGGATTTGGACATCTTTGACCCCTGTATCGACAAATGTCCCATATGTAGAAAGTAGTTCACCCATTGCTGCTTCTTCTCTGACCAAAATGCCTCACTTTGTGCAAGTTCATTATCATGGTGGGGGAATGCAAGATCGATTCCACCAGAGTGGATATCAATCTGGCTTCCTAGTCGGCTGGAGGCCATTGCAGAACACTCAATATGCCAACCTGGTCGGCCTGGTCCCCATTGACTCTTCCAACTAGGTTCACCTGGACGTGATGCTTTCCAAAGGGCAAAATCGTCAGGGGACCTTTTCTCAACTGCATGAGATAACGTCCCCTCACCGTCTCTTTGCAGAGGTTGATTGTTTCTATTCCATGGCTCTAACCGTGCATAGGGATGTCCGGCTTCCTCGAAAGACTTAATGTCGAAGTAAACAGAGCCATCCGGAGTCACATAGCCAAAATTATTTGCCACAATTCTCTCCACAAAATCTGCAATCTCTTGGCCGTATTCGGTGACTCTCGTTATCTCGTCTGGATCAAGGACATTAAGGTCTCTCATATCGCGCATAAAATGTTCTTCGTACTTCTTCGTAAGCTTTGTAAAAATCTCATACGCATCCCCTGGCACAGTTGAACCTCTGAGCTGGTCAAGATAAGGAAGGATGACATCTTGGGTTGCCTCATAGAAGTCTTCACTTGTAATCACCTCATTTTCAAGAGATTCGGGTTGCTCCACAGGTCCCTGATTGAACATCTTGGCTATTCGCGAGATCATCGCAGCTGCAATGGTAATAGTCCTGACATGCATCCGAACCTTTGCTTCACGATCTCCAGGTTTTCTGTTGCCTTCCAAAGCCTCACCCTTTAGAACCCCTCCATACACCCTTTCTGCTTCAGTTCCAAAGTCTTCTGGCTTGGTCCCCTCATTGATCAATTGCAAGTTTTTCTTGATATAGGCATAATACGCTAGTTGCGTGGTCTTCAGTACATCGGGGTTAACATCCGGATGTGAAGCAAGAAACTCGGAGAACAAGTGCTGTTGTCGCCCCCTGACGATGATCCAAACAGAGGTCTCCAGTCAGTATATGAGTCAAAACTGCTAAATCATGAACATGTCCTACCTTGTCATCCACATCGGTAATATTTATGACAAACTCCACATCAAATTTGAAATAATCCTTCAGTATGCGACGAATAATATCCGTACTAACGTAATTCCTTGCGTGTCCAAGATGTGCATCATCGTAGACAGTAGGGCCACACGCATACCATGTTACTTTGCGGCCCTTTGGGTCAAGGGTAACAAAGGGGGTCTTGGATCGGGTCAAAGAGTTCCATACTGTCAGAGGTGGAAGATTAGTGTCTCGATGCGCCTGTGGTTGCCTCCAGGGAGGCTGTTTGCGAGAATCCATGGTATCTACGAAAAGGAGAGTATGGAGGTTTCGAGTTGAGTGTGGTGAGAAGAACATTTGGTCGGCTATGTTGACAACAACTAAGGATGCCCCGCTCCCAAAGGTAATGGACTGCCTATTACGGAAGGGTCTTCCACTCCATGGTGGCCGACTGTGGACTGTAGGCTTGACAGGACACTGCTTTGAAAGAATAACGTGATCATAGATAATTAGGACATAAAATACTGCTGCTCCAGAAGTGAGGATGTGCACCAAGGCTCGTCTCATGCCACCAGGAATTTCATATAGATGTGGGAATATGGAAGGACATTGAGTTTCAGCTAAGGAATTTGGAAATCCTCGATCATGGGAGCATGCTTGATGATTTTAGGCGTTAACCGTCACTTTTTGGTTTAACATCGCATAGTGCTTGTACTACGGAGTACGGAGTAGTTAAGTTGGTTAGATTATATAAGGTTTGAATGGAAAGAACGCGCTAAGCCCACCCCGATAAGAATGACGGTTTTGGTTCCTGTCGCTCCCCGGAGTCAGTGACGTTGAATCCCCGCGAATTGTTGCGGGCGGTGACATTCGGTTCCAGCTATTGATGCCTTGAGCTCAGCCATCTCACTGCTTCCTCTTTCCACAACGGCCTGAATTTAGTAATACCTCAACTTGACCCCCTATATAGCTATTCTCACGACTGGGAGATTACTGTTTATGAGTTGCTCGGTCACCTCGGATTCTTAGATTGCCAGGGCTGCTTCGCCCAGCCTCCGGTCTCCGAGTACCATGTGGAACGACGAGGATAACAACCCATACGGCGCATTCGATCCCGAAGCCCGTCTCTCCGAATCCTTACATTCGGCGAACCTTTCTCCAAGTGAGGCTCACTGCTCAAATCATTGACTCGCAGTCTAACCTTTGCAAGCTCTCTACGAACGCGAATACACTCCTCCCTCTCCCTCCAGCAAGGCGTCAACCCAGGATCCGACCGACGATTACCTTTCACATCCGCAGGATTTTAGCGATGATGAAAATGAAGGATACGACAACCAGCCCGCCGGCCATGGCTACTACCGGAAGAGCACTTATGATAGCCGCATAGAACAAATACTCTATGAGAACCCGGAGATGCCGATCCTCATCACCGATGCCGGGAAGAACCACGAAGGTGGTGGAAGCTTTATTGTGTACACTATACGAACTGGAGTATGTGATGCTGCAGCTAAGAGAGCGCCTATGGATTCGACTAACATGTGCAGGATCTGGAAGTCCGGCGACGGTACTCTGAGTTCGCCTCCCTGCGACAGACTCTCGTGAACCTCCATCCCACACTCGTCATTCCGCCCATCCCTGAGAAACATACCATGGCGGATTATGCCGCCAAGCCTACCAAAGCTAAGGAGGATACCGCAATAATTGAGCTCCGAAAGCGAATGCTGGCTGTCTTCTTGAACCGCTGTCGTCGAATGAAAGAAGTCCGTGAGGACGGCGTTTGGTGGAGGTTTCTAGACCCTAATGTTAGCTGGGTATGTATTCCGCGACCACCTGCGAGCTCGACGGTACATGCTAATTTATATAGAGCGAGGTCCTTCATTCCCACCCTGCATCCTCGGTACCCAAGAACAATTTGAAAGCACCTCCCCTAGACCCCGCCAACCCCACAGCCGCACACGCCTGGCTACCCGTGCCATCTTCTTCCGCGAAGCTCAAGGGTACTTCCGGTCCTACAGCTTCAGCTGCACCTCCCCCCGCGGATGCGCCGAGCTCCGATGTTTTAGGGCGTTTCCCTCCGGAATCGCGCAAATTGAGCGAGCAAGAGTTGGACCCGTATTTCATCAACTTCGAGGCATCTACACGGGAGCTTGAGCTACTACTGCAAGGAAATATTGAAAAAGTCAATCGTCGAACACTAGCGCATCTGTCTTCGTTGTCAGCAGACCTCATGGAGCTTGGAGCACGATACAATGGCTTCTCTCTATCCGAACAATCACCCACAGTAGCCGCAGCGATTGAACGAATTGGCCAGGCAGCAGACACATCTTACATCGAAACTGAGGAGCTCTCCAATGCATTAAGCGCAAGCTTTGCCGAGCCTATGAGGGAAAGCGCGCAGTTCGCTAGCATTGTTCGTAGTGTCCTACGTTACCGGGTGCTTAAACGGGTGCAGGAAGAAATGACAAGGGACGAGTTAGCCAAGAAGAAGACCTTGCTTGATTCTCTGGAACGGAGCGAGTTGGAAGCGAAGCGTATTGAACAGTACCTGAATCGGACGTCACCTCAAGGATCAGGGACGAGATCGCAACGCTCCCTATCTACATCGTCGGCTACCAGCGGCGCGGGGAGTCATAGAACAGATATACACCCCGGCGGTCCGGAAGACACTACCGCTATCGATTCAGACTTTCCCCCTACCCATGGCGAGTCGATCGGCTCGCATGCGCCGTTACCCCCAGCTTCTCCATCAAGGAGACCCGAGACATCCTCTTCTCCAGCACATCGCAAGTCAGCCAGCGGGACATTCATGACAAACAAGCTTTTTGGGCGTATTAGCCACGCAGTCCACGGGTTTGTTGATGTTGACCCGGAGAGGACGCGACGAGATCAGATTGGGAAAACAAGAGAGAGTTTGCTCCAGGTTAGTCTAACCCCACTTGTCTTCCGCATCTCAAAATCCTTGCCCCCTTCCCCTTTGTCTACTTCGCTAACATATTATGCACAGTTGGAACAAGCACTGGAAGTTTCGGAAAAGGACGTGAAAGACGCCAGCGCAGGTGTTTTGCAGGATTTGAAGCGATTCCAGAAGGATAAGGAGGGTGATCTGCGACGTTACATGGTAAGCCGTGATGCGTGCAAAATATGGTTGGGGGAAACGCTAATATTGAGATATTTTGTGTAGGTCGCATATGCCCGATGCCATTTGGATTGGGCCCGGAAAAACCTAGAGACATGGACCGAGGCAAAGGATGAAGTGGACAAGATCGTCGTCCGCTAATTCCTTGCGATGTACCAGGTTATGGCTTTTCTTTTTACATCGGGCCTTTTGTTCCCCCGGTAATCACACTCAAAGAGTGCGACTACTCGGCGTTGGTGGATTTCTAATTATATTTTTCATGAGCTCTATCGTGATGTATGATTGATTGAGATTGGGCGCAATGATTGTCCACTATTTTAGATCGACCGATAATCCGTTGATCACGTTGCAGATCAGCCATCCTTCGGAGGCGATGTTGTCAAATGTAACCATTATCGATCCATCCCCTGCCAACCTATAGTAGAATGTGAAGCGATAGATATTGTATATGTTATCTTACTGTTTCTTAACGCGGGCGTTGTCGCATAGCAGAGTTGAGTCCCGCACACGTTGAACGGGTGCCCTATTTATTTCCACGGTTGCGTCCCGTATGGAACCTCAACCACAATGTATCTCTCAAAGTTCAGGTACCCACCCATAACGATCTTCGGACCATTTGCTAGATAAAGCTGCAGCTCTTATGTGTCCGGAAAGCAGTGCGCGTCAATGGATGAGTCAACTTTTTGAAGTCCGTTAGAGAGGAGCTGGCTCCACTTCTCGAGGCAACAATGGAATCAACATCCCTTATGCGAACGTCGAAACTCTCGCCGATCACCAATTCCGACGCTACCCTATTAGTAAGTGCATTGTCTTCCTACAATCAATCGAGTGATGTCGTAATGTCTTTTTAAGCGGGTTTTCTCCTTTCCTCCCAGAGATTACGCAAGAGTTACTAACAACGGATGGACCTCTCGGTAAGATATCCCGTATTACGGAGAGCTTCCTTTCGGCATATACAACCTTCTCCTTAAACATGATACTGATCCAGGTTACCCGTGGCGATCATCCGCGTTGATCTGTTATGGAAGGATGAACGTATCCCCTGTGTATCCACGAACTATAGGATCGACAGGAACTTTGATTTTTCCAACGGTGTCTAAAATTTGGCATCCCTTGGAGCCATCCACTACCGGTTGCGGCTGCATTGCTTGCGCCAAGGGCCCACACCCCAGTGCACATAGTCTGTTTATTGTCTTGGAAGCTTGGCCCAGGGTGTTTGGGAACGGAGTTTCGCGTTACCGAATATTCACTCAACTGTTTCCTATCGGAGTAAACTGCTGCTGATCCGTTTATTCTAGACTAGGGATGCTGCGCCCCTGGGGGCATTAGGGCGACCCTGAGAGGCTATGTGCTAGATTCCGCTGCTACACTTCCTCATCCATTGCCGACCAAGAAAAGGAAGAGGAAATAAAAAAAAAAAAGAAAAAAGAAAAAAGGAGATTATGGGGACAAGTTCCCCGGCCGCCGACCAGGAGCTTGCTGGGTGCTCCCATTTATTAGCATACCGTCTCTCGTACCCAGTCTGAACACTCCCGGACCTGATAGTAAATAGTTGTACAATCGTGGTTGTATTAAGATGGTCCTTGTCGCGACGTTATTCTCCCTTTTCACGGTCTCTCTATGCAGGAGCATACCACGCTCCGGTCCTTCATCCTCCCTCTATACACAAGCTACCAACCTAAAAATTCATGACCCGACTGTCATCAATGTTGGTGGCGTCTACTATGCTTATGGTGTGGGAGAACACATTGTTATTCATCAAGCAACTGGTCTAGCCGGACCGTGGAAGCAGATCGGAAGTGTCCTGGACAAGGACAGCATCATCCCCAAAGGTGACCGTGAAAAGCCCTGGGCTCCAACGACCATCGAAGTCAACGGTATCTTCTATTGTTATTACTCAGTCAGCAACGCCGGGTGTCGCGATAGCGCTATTGGGGTAGCTACATCACAATCACCAGGTCCAGGTGGATGGACGGATCACGGGGCTATTGTCCAATCGGGCACCGGACAGGGTTCGGACAAGCACCCATTCAATGAAGTCAATGCCATTGACCCTGCAGTTCTGGTCACTGGAGATAAAGGTCTTTTGATCTTCGGTAGCTATTGGTCGGGAATATGGGAGGTCCCATTGAATGAGGACTTCATCTCGGTCGGCAGCATAACGGAATCTAATGCGCATCATCTAGCAAAGCATCCACAGCCCGAGGGAGTAAAGTCACAAAACCCAAACCCCAATCCGCTCTGTCGGGATTCAGCCGGTCGCCGCCCGGTTGAGGGTGCTTATATCTCTTACCACGCACCGTACTACTATCTCTGGCTGAGCTGGGGCCAATGCTGCGATTATGATCCCAGCAACCTTCCACCATCAGGTGAAGAGTAAGTCCTGCTAGCATGCTCCTTGACTCTCTTCCTACACCCGGTGGGCACTTTAGTGCTTAGTGCTCTGTTTCAACAATGGTTCATGCTAACAAAACCATAGATATAGCATCCGCGTCGGACGCTCTGAGAGCCCTCACGGACCGTTTGTAGACAAGCAAGGGAAAGAGCTCACCCATGGCGGAGGAGAGCTCATTTATGGCTCGAACAACGACGTTTACGCACCGGGAGGACCTGGTGTTTTAACAGGGGACACTGGAGATATTCTTTATTATCATTACTGTGGGTCCCTTTTCTCGAATATGGACTTTCCGGGGTAAGCTAACCAGGACAGTAAACACAACTATCAGCTATGATTTCTGGGTGAGTCCCCGAACCATCTCCAGATCTCTCATGTCATATCACATCGCTAATGTCTCAGTAGGAAGCCCGACTGGGATATAGTTATCTGGGATATGTCGATGGTTGGCCCGTCATACGGGAAGCCCCCTGATATGGCAACATTCTAATTTGGGATACCCGGCTTTGATATAAAATGTTCGACTCACACACGGCGTTTGCACGTTTACCAATATAGATTCTAATTCACAGTATACGATATACCAATCTAATAAATAAAGGCTTTTCGTACGGCGTAGTGCCGTGGCCAATATTAGACAAGATAGAGAGGACGGGTGAATCGACCTCAAACATCTGACGTACAGCTGCAGCCTTAGGGCCTAGAGCCTTAATAGGTGTGCTAGTATAAATTTCCATCTTCCCAGGACCTCCCAACGTCTACGCTCGTTGTTTTCGCCACCAATATCATCCATCTTGTCACCTAGGTACACTGTCCCTTTTTGTGGTAGTAATATAAAACTTAGTTAGCCTGTTCGCATACCAAATCCTCTTTTCTCCAAGAGCACCCAAGGCATTGATTTCTACATTCTCCATTCTCCATTCTTTCGTGGTCTCTCAGCAACCTCGCACTCGGGACCATAAATCACATTAGTGTACATCCATTTTGGTAATCAATCCGGAACCCACTTTGTGTCAGTGCGCCATATAGTGACGTAGTGCCAATGATAAACAGTGGAGAAAGCCACAAGCGAAGCGCGGTTATACAAAGCAAGGAGTGCCACTCTGTTCATGTACCCTTTGAGCATCAATTAGCCTGGCGTATATCCTCCATAGCCCCACAGACATTAACATTGGCTGGTAATTTTCATAGTGTCTGGCCATAACCGGAGTGGCCTGTTTTTTGATCGGTCGCTCGGAAGAATAAGCCAGCAAGTATATATCTCCCGGCAGGTAGAACTACAAGCCGTACGGATGCGTTAACTGTTCATCATCAGTGTGTATGGTGGGACTATCGCCGTTGAGTACCTCGGTGCATATTGCAAAACCATTCCCTGGTACAATTTAATCTTATTACATCTATCACATTAACAGAAAGGTCAGTCTCGTGGTCCAGGCCAGATCAGGTACTGAATTGGGAGTTCCAGACGGAACATAAATATTATGTGTAACCGAGCCATGTAAGACCATGCAGATGCAGCTTCGTTGGATATTGGTGAGTTGATGCTCTCTAAGGCTACCACAACTTTGGTAAAAGAAGGATACCAACCACTAGTCAATGAAGAACAAGGGCTTTCTTTGACAATGGTGGGCCCTTATTGTTCAACTCAGTTACAATGTGATGCCTGTGGTATGAGAAACACTTACATGATACAGACATTTATGCATGATTGACGTCCTACGCAGTATGCCGTCACATATACCAAATATGTGAACTTGCCAGATGTTATACAATTACTATACGATCAAGGCACAAGACCACAAGAAGGGAGTTTCTGAGTGGATTTGCACTGGTTGTACCGCTGAGAAGCCAACGAGACGGATATCGACTACAACTTTCAACCAATCAACTTCATTATGTTAACTCGGAGAAAGTCAATATAATGTCGAGTGTATCTAAATGAGGGCCGAACAGCGTTTTCGGTTGGTGAGCATGTGTGTTGTAGCAGAAACGACACAATGTGATCCACATAAGAGGATCGGTGCAAAGCAATGGACAAGAAGCACAAGAAGTCTTTGGCTATTCGTCCGACCCCTTTTCGTATTTCAATCATGGAAACTGCCGGCCAAGCGTGCATCATATACTAGGACATCTCTCATAAACAAACATGAATGAAGTGGCTAGATATAGGTAGTGCCTACACTTTCCAGTTCAAGGACCTTAACGCAGCATTTGTCCTTATTTGTCTAGCTTAATTATCCCCCTTCTCCTCTTCAGACATATCGCTTTTCTGGTTGCATCCTAGATAACTAGCTTACGAGATGTCTGTACACTTTGGTTTTCCGCCGTCATCCCTGTTCATCCTTGATCAGGCTCAAATAAAACTGACCATTCCAACTCACCAATTGGCAAAGTTCGGTATATCAACAGCATTCTACACCATCACCTTGCACCTGAGGGTCTCTCTCGTCGCTATTTTCATATATACCACTGTTGTATTACTTCTGAATGACATGGACAGAAGGAGACACGGGATGCCATGGGCGATAAACCATATGAGGTGGTTCCAACATGCGGTGATCCTACATAATATCCTTCTAACTCTTTATTCAGCCTTGGGGGCTTTTACGATTGCTCGAATATTCAAAAACGCATGGCCAGAAGGCATGACACATTCTATACAGTTCTAGTGGAAGGCCTATTCTGTCGAGGTGGGCAGATCGTACCTGGTGGGGAAACTCTCCAGGAGTTCGTCTTCATCGGCTAGACATCTTACATGTCAAAGTTTTACGAAGTTATCGACACTGCTATTATTCTTGCAAAAGGCCGACAGGCTTCACTTCACCATATCTACCACCATGCAGGTGTAATCCTTGTCTCATGGGCGTTAGTCCGCTTTGAATATCCACCTGCATTAATCCTTTTTTTCCTTACTGCTGGTGTCCATGCACTTAAGGTAAGCTCCAATAAAGTCTACCAGAGCCTGAACGGGGGTAAGATACTAACCAAAGGGTTGCAGTACACCTATTATGCATTGATATCAATTCATGTGGCAGTGCCTCAATCAGCTAAGGCTGTAATGACCGTCATCCAAATAGTGCAGTTCTTCATTGACCTTATTGTGTGTCCAAGCTACCTCTTTGTCTTCTATGATATTCCTCTGCACTATGCTCGTTGCACCGATTACAGGGAAATGGGAGATACTTTGGACACCCGGGCATCTCGAGATGCTGGCACTAATGGACAGTCATATTGCGACATACGAACAGTTGGTTGTATGAACAAGAGCCATACCTCTGTGGCATGGCTCGGGATTATTTTCATTCTTTCTTTGACATGGATGTTTCTACAGTTTTTCCGGTCGACTTACCTACAAGCTGCCAAGAAAAAGACTCCCTAGGTTATATTTGCCTGCATGCTCCTTCGCGACCTAAGCGTTGAAAACGACCACGTACATTTCCGACCAAACAGAGTCGAGTGGCCAAGATTGAACACGCTGCTGATTAACTGGTACCTCTGAGACTACACATTCCTATTATTCCTAAAATTTATTATTGCAAGCATATGACCGATGCGTTCGGAACAAAGTGAACAAGCCTTGATATGCCTCTATAGTTTGTTACTGAAATATGACTGTTGTCATTTTAGCTAACTCTCAGTATCAATGGTTGGGAAGTAAGCTTAGTAATTGTAAGATCTTATTTCCCTGCTAGTAAGCCGTCATTTGACCAGGAATATTAGTATCTCAGCCTAGGGCAGTAGTTGCCCCGGACATTTCAATCCCTCCGATCCCGAATGCCGTTCCTCGGGCGGCATCTTTTTCCCTTCCTCGCCCAACCCCGTTTCTTCATTGTACGACTCAACGCTATTCGACTATGAACACCGGTCATCGTGAACTTGGTCCTTACGGACGTGCCTGTGCCACTTGCGCCCGCGCAAAATGTAAATGTATCCCTCGAGCTGGTGGAAGTAGTTGTGAGAGGTGAGTTCTTACACATTTCATGAATCGCATTATACAGCAGTCTTAATTTGGGATAGGTGTCACCGCTTAAATAAAGAATGCATCCAGCCAGTCAGACAGCGAAAGCTTAAGCCACTTTCGAAGAGAGCGCAGTTGGAGCAAAAACTAGACGGTTTGATGACTTTATTGGCGTCGACGGGACAGTCACAGCCCCAGCCCCAGTCGCTGTCTGATTCGGTGACGAACATGAACACAAACATCGTCACTTCTGGAACCGAGTCCCCTAATAGCGATTCAAGACTGCTTGGGACTGAGATTTCTGGGCCAAGTCTAGACCAACACTCGGAAGAAGAAGCTTGTCTAGCTTCTTTCCGTACAGAGAAACTCCCGGCTTTCCCAGTTATCCATATTCCAGACTCTATGTCTGCAAAGGATGTTAAAGAACAAACCCCCTTTCTGTGGCGCTGTATTGTTGCCGTTCAATGCAAGAGTCCGTTCCGTCAATCTGAACTGTGTCTCAATATTCGTGAAGCAGCAGGTAAGAGACTGCTGGTGGATTGTGCAAAGAATCTAGACCTTCTACAGGGAGTCTTGGTGTATCTCGCCTGGTAAACTACCCTTCCCATGCTGGAAATAGTTAGCAGCTCACAGTCTGGTAGGGTCACATACCTAACTCAGCCGCAGAAGTCATCTCTCTGTATGTATACACAGATCGCGATTGGATTGGTCTTCGAGCTTGGTCTCAATAAGCCAGCGCCCCCTGATTTATGTATGGCAACATCAAATTGCAATGCAGTGGGCCATCTACCACATCTGAAGGCGTCACTTTCAACCAAGCGAACCATGAATGAACGGCGAGCCGTGCTTGGCTGTTTCGTTCTCAGTTCCTTGTAAGTCTGGACCTATGTAAGCTAATGATGACTGACTTCACTTCGCTGACTATCACGGATAAAAGAATAGCACAATTCCTGGGGCGAATGGATCCACTCAGATGGACGCCTCATATGGAAGAATGTCTCAATATTTTATCCGAAAGCGACGAATCACCTAATGACATTGTGCTTGTGCATATTGCACGTACACGATTACTTGCGGATACGATCTTACAAGGGCCTTGGAATGACAATCTCCATGATACAGACATTGCCTCGCGAGCACCGGCATCTTTTCATATGAAAGCTATGCAGACGCAGTTACAAACTTTGAAGTCCAAGATCCCTGTCGATCTAGCTGACAATAGTATGATGAATCCTAGCGCTTCATTTGATCTATACCCATTTAACCCTGATTATAGGATCCATTCTTTTCCACCTCCTTCATACAGAGGTCAGCCTCTACGAGACAACCCTCGGCAAACCAGGAACGAACACAGAATTTACAGACCCGCAACGCCTTGATCACTTATACGCTTGTCTAAACGCGGTCAAAGCTTTCTTTGATCTATTGGTAAATATTCCCATCGCGAAGCTTACCTCCATCGCCCTACCGGATCTAATTTACACCTCACACTGCCTTGTGACCCTCTTTCGTCTCTCGACTTTCGATCACCCCGGATGGGATCAAGCCACTATTCGGAGTACATTGGATCTCGTAACTATTACCGGTCAGCTAGCTGATCGACTGAATGAAGTGGCGCAGGTTGTAGGGATTCATAGTGAAGGGGAGCATCAGGATCCATATAGTAGGCTGGGCATGACGATGCTGAAAATACGGGGTGAATGGGCGTCGAGACTGTCAGATTTGGAAGCCGTGGACATGGATACTACATTGGAATTGCCTGTTTTCAACATGAATCAGTGGGATTTAGATAGCTTTCTCAATTGGTCGGAGTGTTTCAGTTAGATATGTAATTAATGAATGCTGAACGAATCAATAGATAGTGATTAATTATATTATATCGACTAAGGATGTCTATAGCTAGGGACAAAACGCAGGCATTGACAAATTAAAAAAAAAAAGAAAAGAAAAAAAAAGTAGAAAAGTGGTTACCATACGGAAATAAGCAGCATCCGTATAGTATGTCCGATACCTCATCGTTTGAACCCCAACGGAGTTCGCTCTGCAGGCGTGGGAACGGGCACGGGAATGCGCCAACTCCGTGTCAACAGAGGAGATATGGAGAGATATTTAATGAATGCATTATTTACAGTAATAGTCAAATTCTAAGTCTATACTTCACACAGCACGGTTCTTTGTCGGTGGTTATTATATTACTCTATCTCTTACATCCCAAAGCGCAGTTACACACCAAATGTTAGAACACAATCCCAATCTTCCACTGCTAGCCCGAGCCCTAACCGACTATCAAGATGAGCGAGAATCGACCATTCACCCTCGACGAGGATCTAAAACCCCAAGTCAAACCAGAGAATGAGCTCAGTGAAAGCATTCCGGTATCTGAGAAACATGAGCCTGAATGGCTGGAAGGGGTACCTCTAGTCATGGCCGTAAGCGGGACCACGCTTGTAGTCTTTCTCATGTTGTTGGATATATCCATTGTTTCAACGGTATGACCGACTGCTCATAGGGAACAACGCAAAATCGACACTCAAAGCAAATAAATAACGTGTTCATAGGCTATCCCCCAGATCACGAACCAGTTCCACTCCCTCGACGACGTGGCATGGTATGGAAGTGCGTATACAATCGCGAGGTACAGTAGGCTGGGAAATACTCCCTCCATGCTAAAGTAATAATCGCTAATTGCAGTGGCCCTGCTTCTGCTATAGTGCCTCTCTCCAACCTCTCACGGGTAAATTTTACAACTATTTCCAATTGAAGGTTAGTTAGTCTATTCCCAAACTGTCGCATAGTCCATAGCACTAACTACCCTGCAGTGGACATTCCTTTCCTTCTTCGCTCTGTTTGAAATTGGTTCGTTAATCTGTGGAGTTGCCAATTCCTCAAAGATGTTGATTATCGGCCGTGCGGTAGCCGGAATGGGATCCTCAGGGATGTTGAACGGAGCCATGAACATTCTCGCCGCTGCTGTTCCAATGCATAAACGGCCGACACTGATGGGAATCATCATGGGGAGTATGTTTCATTTCCATAAGTCAAACATTCCAACCGCTAATCACATACAGTCGCGCAGCTAGGGTTAGTTTCTGGGCCGCTGATTGGCGGTGCGTTTACGACATCTTCAACATGGCGATGGTGTAAGTCTAGAGTGACAGTTAACCACAGAAGTACCCAATGTATACTGAGAACATGATAAATGGCAGGCTTCTATATCAATCTCCCAATCGGCGCCCTAGTAGGCGCCCTCTTCACCTTCACCCGCATCCCGGAACAAAAACCCAAGGACAAAGCTAGTGACGTGGTCCGGTCGATGCTTCTCTACAAATTCGACTGGATTGGCTTCGTCCTTTTTGCGCCAGCCTGTATCCAACTTCTCCTGGCACTACAGTATGGCGGAAATCAGTACCCCTGGAAGAGTGCTACAGTTATTGGACTGTTCTGCGGCACTGTTGCAACATTGCTGGTCTTCATAGCATGGGAGCGCCACATGGGCCGCGATGCAATGATCCCGGGGTATTTACTCCGTGACCGGATTGTTGTTTGCTGTTGTATGTTCTCCATGATGATCTTCGGTATGACTATGATTCTGTCATACTATCTGCCCATTTACTTCCAGTCCGTTCGGGGGAAGTCGGCGTTAGTCAGTGGTGTCAACCTACTACCGAATATACTCTGTCAGTTGGTTATGGCGGTTATATCAGGTCTTCTAAGTGAGCTACCTCTTATACCCTACATATGAAAAAAAAAAAAAAAAAAAAAAAAAAAAAAAAAAAAAAAAAAAAAAAAAAAAAAAAAAAAAAAAAAAAAAAAAAAAAAAAAAAGAAAAGAAAAGAAAAAAGTTTTGCTAATGGGCAGAAAAAGCCGGAAAACTGGGCTACTACCTACCATGGGGAGTCCTCGGCGCAATGCTAAACGCAATCGGCAACGGCCTCCTATCAACCCTCACACCATATACCTCGGTCCCAGACTGGGCCGGATTCCAATCGCTAGTCGGATTCGGCAGAGGCGCCGCAACCCAAGTAGTAAGTCCGCTCTCCAGCTATCCACGTATGGAGACAACATCCAAGGACTAATAGAGAAATTAGCCCATGATTGCGATCCAGAACGCCGTAACAGCAGACGAAGTCTCAACTGCGCTGGCTATCATGACCTGTAGTCAGACTTTGGGCGGAGCAATCTTCCTAGCTGTTGGACAGGTCATCTTTGCCCAGGGGCTCCGGGTAAAGCTTCCGCAATATGCTCCTGCTGTGGATCCGGAAAAGGTGATTGCGGCTGGTGCGACAGGGTTTCGGGATGTGGTATCTATGCGGGATCTACCGGGTGTTTTGACGGCGTATGCGAAAAGCGTGGATCGGGTGTTTTATTTGGGTATTGCGTTGTCTGTTGCTCAGTTTGTCTTTGCTTGGGGTGTTGGATTCAAGAACGTAAAGAAGGATAAGGGGGTAAAAGTAAGCAGGGAGGTGGTTGATGATAAGGCTTGATGGTATTCACATACTGATTTGCGTGAGATAATGCCATCTACCCAATAGAGTATGATTTTTTTTTAGAACTGTCCTAATTACAAATCATGATCAGGTGCATACTACAAGGATCATGAATTCATGTGAGATGAATAACCTTCCTTTGTTCTCCCTCTGCCTTTCTCTGTCCGTTTTTATGAGGCACTGCTCTGCACCAGGGCTGGGCCCTTCTTATTTTATTTACCATGGCAAAGGCGGCAATTATGGCGAATCATGAGCTTTAAACAGCCATAAATTGCAAGAAGAAAAACAACACTCGATCAACAAATGCACCTGTCAGCGATACCTGAGGCGTACCCCCGACGGTGGATTTCATGTCTAGGCTCACGTTGTCTCCGGTCATCTAGTCGTAGCCCTGACTTGGGGTTATAAGCACGGACCCTTGGGATTAAGGCCCTGACATACTCTCACGACAACGCAGGCCTGGGACTAGATATTGCACGGATTGTTTGGGATTTGGTGCTCTTTTTTCTTTTTATTTCTCTTTTTTTAGCTTCATCGGAGGCAAATGTGGGTCTGGCTAAGTGTGCCGTGGTAGAGATTGAGAGTTGGAATCAATTATTAGATTCTGTTAAGCGTTCTGCCACTCGACCAAAATACCTTAGGCATTTGATCGTGCCTCCAACCGGACAATGGCTAACAGATTCTATTACCATGCTTGGAAATAGGCCATATTATTTGTCGGACCTTGGCTAGTCCGCCATTTCATTTTTGAAAGGAGGGATCAAGCAGTATTGAACCAACGATATCGGCAAGACCGGGGTTCCTTCAGCTCCCTGGGATCTACTTCAGAGAGCAGCCGAAATATATTTTGACTGTAGGAATCGTCAACAATATTTACAGAAATGGGTCATGTGGCTCAGCTGCGTCTATATCTACCCCACTTCTCAAGACAGGAAAATGGACTGGATTGCTGAGGTTTCATAGATTATCTTAATTCTATTTATGCCACAGGCTACGCAATTGACCATAACATGGCCACATTCCCCCAAGAAACCCTCCTTATCATCATCCACTGGAAACCTCCGGCAGCGTGGATCTCCTCTGTATCCCACGCCTTCCCTAACCTCCGGATCATATGCCATGAAGTCAGCATCTGGGACAAAAAGCTCCCCGAGATCCCCGAGGAGACATGGAAGAGTGTCACAATCCTCTCTGTACGAGGAAACTCTATCCCACACCTGACATGGTGCTGAATCTGCGGTTTGTGCAGGTCCTAAGTGGGGGGGTTAATCAGGTTCATGGATTGCCATTGTATGAAAAGACAGATATTACGTTTGCGTCGAGCAGTGGGATTCATGGGTGGGTTTTGTTTTTATTTTTTTTTTCTTGTTTTTGTTTCTCTTCCTCTCCAAAAATCGTTGCTAATGGCGATAGACCTCAAATGGCGGAATGAGTCTTTTCGACTTTTCTCTCCTTTCAGCACCACCGTAAGCATACTCGATTCAGTAGGGGAAGAGTACTTACTAAATGAAATAGTCCCTCAATACATGGAATATCAGAAAATGAACAAATGGATGGACCCCGAGTCATACGAAGACACGGAGGATGCAGTCGGTCTCAGAGTGTAGGATCCCACCAACCTTGACGTTTATAGGTTAATTCTGACCATCTCATAGTGGCCTTCTCGGCTACGGGTCTGTCGGCCGACAATGTGCTCGTGTCGCTCGTGCACTCGGCATGGAAGTTTACGCCTATACATACCATGATCGGCCGACTTCCTCATCGCGAAAGACCGAGTCCTTCACTGTTCCGGGAGCAGGCGATCCCAACGGTGAATTCCCAGCACAATGGTTCTCAGCCGAAAAGAACGAGCTGGACACCTTCCTCACGTCGGATCTTGATCTCCTTGTTGTTACTGTCCCCATCACCCAGGACACCAATGGATTGATCGGCCAGAAACAATTCGACCTCTTGAGTAAAAAGAGGGCATTCCTAAGTAATGCATCCCGGGGCAAGGTCATCAACACCGATGCCTTGCTGGATGCGTTGCGTACCGGGAAGATTCGGGGTGCCGGGCTGGATAAGACCGATCCTGAGCCGTTGCCGGCAGATCATGAGTTGTGGAATGTTAGGAATGTGATTATTACGCCACATTGTGGGGGTTGTTCGACACAATATAATAAGCGTGGGTTGGAGATTTTGAAGGGAAATTTGGAGCGGTGGATGAAGGGGGGGGAGGTCCGTAATCTGGTTGATAGGGCTCTGGGATATTAGTTTATTTACCTTGGGTGGCTTATAAAAGTTATCGGATATAATTAAAAGATATACTGACATATATGATGTATTGAAGAAGTTGAGGCCATTGGCAGTGACTGGCCCATTTCTTGTCGTATATGGGAAGCATTTGCCGTCAAAGCCGTAGCCTGTTTCGGTTGCAGGTGGACCTCTGTTCTTGACGACCGGCAGCTTTGAACTCCCTTTGGGCTATCTGTAAAACTGGCCCAGAGTTATGAAGACTCGTAACTCACTTAATTCTGGGCCTATTCTCACGAATCTCTCTGTGGCCAGTCTAGAGTGCAGTCATCCTCTACAACTTCAACAGCCGTCTACCGGAATATCCAAGGAATTATTAGCCTTGTCACGTCCAGCTCTTCCATGGGTTATTAATATTATTAATTATAGAGTGACAGAATATATATGGAAAAGCTATGAAAATTGATACCTTCACAATCATTGCGTATTTATCATCATTTGTCCGCTCTGCGATTTTTAATCGGCCGAACCTCTCCTTTCATGCCAAATCTGCGGCCCTAGATGGTCGATATCGTTGCGTTAGAATACGAAGTACTCCGTACTAAGATATAGCGAGGAGACATTAGACAGGTAATGGTTTTTTCTTAATGTCTTATTCATCATTTACCGTGGCTTTGTTTGCTTTTATCTTCTCGTCCTCGTTTTCCTTGGTTCTCCTTTCAAGAGGATATTTCCATTGCTGTTGTTTCATTTTCTTTCATGAAGCAAATACCGCTCTTTTAGTAAAAACGCATTAAACCCTACCCATACGTTTTGGCGGAATCGCTTCCTTGAGAGGCAACTCAGCTTTGACACTTAATTTACGAGAATAATCAAGACTAGGACTAATAGTACAAGTTAACGGTCACTCGATGACACTGCACTGCAGCTACCCTATAGCAATTCCCGACCAATGCTGAATCTTTGGCACGCACATCCAATTAGTGGATATGGAACTTGGAACAATTCCTCGCCTTGACGGTAAGCCTTACCCTACAGAAATCCACTGCAGTATCTTATTCCAACCTCTGGCAACAGTGTTCAAATGCGCCTATGCATCAACTGCCTATACCCTAAATAACCCGACGCGGTCTATCGGCAATCACCACTAATATCGAAACAAGCCACGGAAAAAGAGAGCAATAGTAGCAAAGATCCAGCTAAAAACCCACCAACGCATCAAGAACCCATCACATCTTCACCAAGCGCCCAAACGCCCATTCCCAAGATCAAACTGTCCATCCGGTAAACATCCAATCCAAGTAAAAAACAAACCCCCATCTCAACGCTCCAAAACGCCCCCAACACCCCTGAACGAAGTCTTCGCCCGATTCACACCCGGCCTCCCAACTTTACCCGTACCACTCCTTAAAGGAGATAAAAGCGGCGACGAAAAAGTCCTCAAAGCACCCCTCACAGACCCGACCCTCACCATGAGTTTCTTGGGCGTGATATCCGCTCCCTGTGTTGTATCTTTCATTGGCGGGGATGTGGCAGTAGGTCGAGTCTTTAGGCCTTGGTCCATGGTTAGGTCGTTCTGTAGATATCCATGTCCGGTAGTCGGTGTGGTGAGGGAAGAGGCTTGCTTGGCGTCTAGGGCAAGGGCCTTGGTTGTGCTGGATGCCTGATAGCAAGAAGTGTTGCGGGCGGAGATGCTTGGGCCGAGGTCGAGGATACTGATGTCACTGTCGCTGAGGATGTCGCTAAGGTTGTCTCTGTGGGTTTCGGGAGTTGTTGGAGGAGAGAAGGTTGATTCTTTTGGTTTGAAGGGGGTTGATGCGAGGAATTTGGGGTGTGGGTTTGTTTGAGGAGGAGTTTTGGGTGGATTCATATTTTTGGTGAGAGGAATCAGCTTTCTGGTTGTGAGTTATTGATTGAGGTTGGTGATCCTGGTTTGGTGGATGTTGTTTTGTATACACGACAAGGGTGGAAGGTCAGGTGAAAAGTGCCTGGGGAAAGGAAAGGCTGACGCGGGTCTGGGGCCAGGTATACTTCGAGGTTACTCCGATTGTTGAGTATCTTGTAAAATTGAATGGAGTGGGGTGGAACTGCGAGTATTCATTCACCTAAGAGAATCTTGTTAGTGTTGTCACAGACAAGGCAACCTAGTGTAGGCAGGAGGAAGTGGGCTTTCTTATAGTTGCAAGAGTGAGTACTCTGTGTGCCTCAGGTTCCTGACCACCTCAGATGATGGAGATCTTGTCTCACCTGCCCTTTAGTTCTCAACGGTAGTACTAGGTCGTAGACAGTTGATATATGATTCTATTCTGTAATTTGAGCTATTAAATAGAGATATCCGAGTTGCAAACAACTCATGACACAGTACTTCATTTCAACCATTACTGGTTCTGATCATTGAACCATCTTAGAGCAATTTGATCACGCAATATTGTTCACGACTTAGTCTATCAATTCTTCCTAATTCTTTCAAGTCGACAGATGCACAACGCATGGCGCCAGTATACAGGCCAACTGATTGCTATACCCGATTCTCGTCAGCCTCAAGGTACCAACCACATCCGAAGTAACTGTCATGATAATCCTGCGGATCATACAGACAGTCCACGCATCAGAATCCACAACAAATGTTTCGATTAAGGCGAGATGTGCCAGATTGTACGAAAATGTTTATTGACGTCACAGGATTGAGAGCATATCAGATGACTGGGCCGAGTCATCGGAACTGTATAAATGCAGCATCTGATAAGAACCTCGGGCATCATCACTTGCGTCGCCTGGTGCACTACCTTGACCATCAGTGTGCAATGTGTATGACGATGTCTTCCATTTTATGTCTGTCTCTATCGAAACTCTACTGCATTATCACTACGATATCCGTTGGTACATCACGTAAATGGCGAAGAAAACGAATCCATTTCTTCATGCAATGCAGCCGGGCTGCTCTACCATGACCGGCAAAAGAAATGCTTTTAAAACACGGTGTGGAGGTCCGAAGAGAAGTCCTCCTCCATAAACAAAATGTAAATGCAAGGACAGCTGAATCCCGCCGTCCATATTCTCTTCACAATATGCAACAAACCCACCGAAGATGCCACCTCCGAGCTATGAAAAAACGTAATCCCTATACGGGGGCTTGCATAGGGAATTCTTCAAAAATGAAAACGAAAAGTGTAATTATAATAAGACCACAGACTCCTTCATTGAGATCATCAGCCACACAGGAAGCATCATGATATCGCCGACAAAGCGACCAGATTACCAGTATCGTTCATGTCGCGTTTCCAAAAACAGATAATGCCTGTCTACTCAGGCACTATCCGGTCTTCATCGTTTACTCGTAGCTCCACTACGGGCAGCTCGTCGTCGTCGTCGTCATCTGCATCCAATGGAGGAGGAATATCCTGAATGGGAGTCTCCTCCATTGGGGTCCCCGGGTATACCGCTCCGTGACCTCCGGGGCTGTCCGCTAAAGAGGCCAGCCGTAGGTCCGAATCGCTGAAATCTCCTCCACCAACTGCTTGGTTGCTAGCATCGTCGTCGAGCAGGTCGTCGTCATCAGAGGTGGATCCCGGTAGCGCTGTGGTCATCTGTGAACGGCCGTGAGCATCCGGGACTCGGTTGAAAGACCACGAGGGCGGACTCGGGAAGCGGAACGGATCGGATTGCGCTCCATCACCGAACTCGGCTTCATCAAAACTCATACCTTCCAGTCGGTGTTCTTTACCAACGCTCTTTTCCCCAGAAGTGGGACTATTGTTGTATCCAGGGAGCGCGGTCTCATCCCCGTTCTTCGCTTGGGTTCCGGTTCGCGAACCACCACCTCCCTCCTGGTGAGCTGCTCCGACTCCGGTTAAGACGCTCGACGACCCATTGTGGGATGAGCCGCCGAGACGCCGGCCGTCCCCCGACGGTGATTGCCCACGAGATTCGCTGGGCGAACCAGCCTCACTCGCCGGCCGGGTAGATGACTCGGTAATCTCCTCAAGGATCTTACCACCGAGCGGACGATCGGACCGGCGGCGGTAGAAGAGGAGGTAGGCAGCCGAGGTTACCACACTTTGGGGATCAATAGGTCGCGAGACACTCGAATCTACGTATGTCAGTCATGGTACTATAATGTGTGCTGGCGATTTGGACCTACCGTTGTACTCGTTCCACTGGCCAGTGAAGAAGTTCTTGGCATATGCAGTATAGTGACCACCTCCCAGACCACCGTAGTGGTTGTCAACCGCGAAAAGGTCATAGACCAAGCTCTTACCCTCTTCAGGAGCTTCCACTCTGCCACTCATATCGAGGCCTTCTACAGGGAAGTCAACGAGCACATCCAACTTATCCCGGAAACCGCGGCTGGCGCTGAATCTCTTCAGGTGCATGACGAGGATATCAGGTGTCCTCCATAGCTGGAACTTCTTGCTAGCTCGGCGGTGCTCCTTACAGCGGGGGCAGTACCAAGCATCGTTCTCGGAAAGTATTTCCTCCTTGTTGAATTCGTCCAGACACTCTTCAAGGGTGACACCCCTCTTCTTGCGGGTTTGGCGGAGTTGACGCCGCTTAGTCAGCTCGGGGTCATTCACCCGCTCAACGTCCTGCCATGTTGGGAGGCCGCGGAGGGGATCACGGTCTTTCTTATTACCGCCAAAAAGAGCGTCGTAGACCTCGTCATTCCAGTCCACAACAATTCCCTCACCTGGTCGAACCAGGGGTCGAATTTGAACTCTAGCAACTGGAGCCGGGGTGCGAGAGACATCTGCAGAATTATCGGCATCACTACCCGAACCAGATCCACTCTCAGCGGCCTTTGAATCTGAAGGGTCAGTTGTCTCTTCGGACTCCTCTGGTGGAGTAACTGGCTTCGTCTTTATACGGAACGACATCTTGGGGTATTCCTTGTTGTCTTCTACCGAAGACCAGCCGAGGGGCACTGGCTCGTTACCCTTCATGATCTTCAGTTCGAACATGTCCCGGAAGCGAGCTGGAATCGAGCTTTCAGAGCGAGGAGCGGCAGTCTGGGAGGCAGAGTCTGCATCGCGCATGGACACATCAACCATACCATCTTCGCCGTCCACGGAAGATGTCTTGATCTTGGAATCGGCGGACTGAGCGTCGTCGTCGTTCATAACAACTGTATCCGAATCTTCTTGAGTCGCCTCTTGCTGGTCCTCGCCGAGGACCTCCTCGTTCAGGATGTCACGGGTGGTCATCGTGGCCGCCCTAACAAGCACCTTGCCATAGATGGCATCGAAGTCATAAGCCTCCTCTCGAGTGACAACGATGTACGAGGGCACACCAAAAAGGTCCCGCTTTGATTTTGACCGTTCAACACGGTTGAAAATGGGCACCAGAATGCGGTCAGCCTTAGGAGAGTCAATGCTTGGGATCTCCTCTTGATCCGACCTGCTGAAGGAGAAGTAACTCTTCTGGGGCTTGTCCGGGTTGTAATTAGTCGGCACGGACTCGACTTCAAAGAAAGCAATTTCATCATTTCCAGAAATTTGGCACTCAGCAATGGAGCTTGTGTTATCAAACATTCTGTAGAACTTGCGCTTGAAGATCTCGGCCATGATCAGGCGTTCAGGATCGGTGCCTTGCTTCTTAGCGACGAGTTCCTTCAATGATTTGACACTAGAATTCTTGTCGATTTCTACATCAAACCGAACCGGTTTCTTGTCTAGGCCGAAGTAAAATACCTCTTTACCCCAGAGATTCTCGATGGGGAGTTGGAGGGTAAGGTTGTTGAAAGGGTCAAAGATGATACTGACCTTGTCGCAGGCAGGGCAAACAAGAGTCGACTTGTACATACCAGCAAAGAGATCCGTAATAACGGAATCGTTGCGAGCCTTGTAAATATCCCAACATTTGTCTGCGAACTCGGTAAGTGCCGCCTTGTTATGAACCATTTCATCTGTGGAGTCGGGCTTCTCGATGTAGGGCTTCTTAAGGATCCTGTTCAGATCCTCTTGTAGCCCGTCAAGAAGAAAGAGCAGGAACTCTTGAGAGTCCTGCTGGCCATACCCAGAGAATGCTGGGCCGTAGCGACCAATCGTATGTTTCAGCTGCCTGGGAGCAAAAGAGGACTGGCCTGCCTCGTCATAGATCATACGTAGCAAATTGGCATACGCCTTCGCCACATCACCATTGTGAGCCAGCGGGTTGCTGGGGTTAAGATCTTGCTTATACACATCATCTACAGACCATGGTCGTCAGTAATGGTTGGTGGGGAATGCTGTATGCGACGATCAATACATACTCAGGAAGTAATAGGTCAGCTCCTCAACGCTACGTACGCACTGCAGAGCGGAGTTCATGTAGCACGTATTTCCAAGATTGCTTAGACCCGTGCAGCCGCGAGGCTTCCCGTCTTTTCGTCGTCCCCTAACGGGTTCTGGTACTGGAGATGATCGGCCACTGGTAGTAGGGCTCTTGTTCTTCAGCTTAGACGAAGCGCCATTCTTGAGACTACCCGAGGGAACACCAAGGCGATTAAGTGTCTGCTTAGAGGCCTCTGAGACCCACTCCCCACCGGGTATACGTTCCTCTAGCACCACGACATCACTGCCGCCGAGTCCAGCAAGATCCAATGTCATCCGGCCGTTGTAATTAGGGTTGGCGGTCTGATCTTTAGCGTCCTCAAACAACTCCCGTTGGGCACCCTCGGAAAGCGACAGGAAAGTGTTAAGATCGATCACGAGATTGTTACCGGCGTTAGCGACAATCGAGGCTGCAGGTGCCGGTGAAGCGCTTCGCGAAGCAGCTGGGGTCATCGCGGCGGATGCTGTCGCACTGCCCAAACCGCCCAAAATTCTCCAAACACGAACCTTGGTCGACATACCAATGTTGGCCAGTGTTTTAGCTTCCTTCAACCACTTCTGGAAGTTAGAATGCCTGCTAGCTAAAACCCGTACGGGCTTCATGTTTTTCTCCTTTAGGGACTGAGGTGTAGTGCCTCCGGACTGGCCGGAAAGCTTCAGGATCGTGAAAATTGGTGGATTAATCTCATATTGGACGTTCTCGGAATCTCCGCCAACGCTGGTGTTATGGGCGTAGCGAACAATGGCTGGTGACTGGTCTGCCAAGCCGTACCATTGCATGATCAGATCCCATCCTTCTTGAGGTACAATCTCGAAATCTTCGCTCATCTGCAAGCCTGGGCGTAAGGGTACAAAAGGCTCTCCTTTTTCGTCTTTGAAGGACGCATTCGCAGGATCCGTAACTAGAA